ATGTAATAGACTCCACAATCATAATTGAAGAAGGTATAAGAGTCTGTTTGATAGGCTTATGCAAAGAATAATGACTATGACAAAGAATGACTAATCAAACTCTTCACCATGTCCTCAAGAGTTTTGTTTTTTCATTTTGCTACATTATTCATCCTAGATTTTCCCGCGTAGAACAAATTCACACTCTTTGAGAAATAGCACTAAAGGTCATGACCATTATTCTCCTGATTTGTCATAGTAATCACTACCATAGTTAGATTTGACACCTTTAAATTTTTTTCTAAGTTGAAGTTCAACTTCAACTAAAAGACTTAAAAACATCCAAAGATTGAGACTTCTCATATATCAAAAATAGATAACCGTATTTGAAGTAGTCATCTATGAACATAATAAAATATTGTTGTCCATTCTAAGAAGTCATAGGGAAAGGATCACTAGTTTCTGTATGTATTAGGTCTAAGACATCCTTAGCTCTTTTGACATATAATTTTCTTATATTTGTTCTTTTTTCCTAGATGCATTCAACACAAACTTTAAAATCCAATAAATCTAAATGATCAAGAATTTTATCTAACCTAAGTCTTTGAATTCTCTCTTTAGATATATGGCTTAAGTGCTTATGCCATAAGGTGACTAAATTTTTGTTTGATTTTTGCTATGTTCCTTGTGAACTTATTTGCAGTATTTCATTATGGGAGCTAGCAACATCAAACATATATAGCTAATTAGAGAATTGAAACCAACAACATTTGAATTTTGGTAGAAACTAAATTTATTATTTCTAAATGAACAAATTTTTTTTTTGTCTAAACCAGAAATAGAAATCAAATTGCATCTAAAAGATGACACAACAAAAGTTTCATACAAATCTAAATCAAATCCAATGTTTAATTGGAATCTAAATATTTTAATAGTCTCTACTATAACTTTATTGTCATCGCCCACAAAGATCAATCTTTCATCATTACTTGGTAGCTGGCTCCACAGGCAACCTTGCATATTCATACTTATGTACTATCTTTAGGAAAAAAAGGTTAAATTAACTTCAGAACAAACGAGAGTAAGAAATTTATCTTTCTCTACACATTATGCGGCGTACTTGAGACTTTCTTTTTGTTATGTGTCTCGTGTTTTTACAAAAGAAGCAAGTAATTTTCCATTATTCTTTTGTTTCTTTTGCTGAGAAGACCTTTTTACAACATTTTTAGTCACCTTCTTTTTCTTATTTTGAGAGCTAGAAGTTAAATGAGCACTCTCTGTCTTCTTTCTTTGCTGCCTTTCATTTTCTTGCACACAATGAGATAATAACTCATTTATTGATCATTTGTCCTTTTGAGTATTATAGCTCACTTTAATTTTTTCAAATTATGCAGGAAGAGAAATCAAAATCAAATGCAGGAGTAAGCCATTAGACAATTCTAACTTTAGTACCTTTTGTTTTGAAGTAACATTTGACATTTTCACATTTGCCTTTGTACCTTATAAAGACAAGTTTAGATAACAAACCGTTTACATCAACTTTCTCATTCTTGGCAAAGTTTTGTTTTGTTTAATGGCTTCTAAGAAATTCTAAACACTTACACTTTTAAAAATGAAACTTTGAAATGTTTTTAGAATAGATTGCTGCATGATCATTAAACACATTCAATTAGAGTGTTTTTATTTTTCAATTTTTGTTACTTTAAAATTTTTCAGAGTAGAAGTATATTTCTCAGTTTGAAGTTCAAGACATCTAAATCCATATAATCCATAATTATTTTCACAGTTCCATTCTAGACTTTAAAATTAGTCTCATTCAACATTTGAGACTCTATTTACTTGAACAAAAATATTTACAGCACTAACAATATATACTAGAAGAGAGTAAAATAAATTAATTACATGTTTACAATATAAAAATTAAATTTAAACAAACAATTTACATAATCAACTCATTATAAGATAATAAGCACAATTATTATTTTTTAGTTTTTGAACAAATAAATTAATTTGTAAGTGATACTTTCAACACAATGATCAAATATTGATAATAAATTCATTTAAATAATAATGTTTCTTTAGATTGATAATTATTCAGGTAAAAAATTACTTCGTAATTATCACATATTTATCATTACAAGTATATTATTATTTAACCAAATTCTATTTTTTGGGACTTATTTTATTGTTAAAATAACAAAATTAAATTTAAATATATAATTTTTTTTCTTATTATTATTCTTTTAACTTTATGAAAAAATGTAAGATTTTTTTAACGTGGACTATGCCTAACAATTGACGAATTTCTGTATATAAAAGTAAACAAGTTTAAAAGTTTTTTTTAATCCAACTTAAGGGTATTTTTATAATTTATATTTTAATTAATACTCCAATTAATTATATTGATTGATTTTTTTATTATTATAATTACTTAGTACCATACTTCAATATTTCTTAATTTTTAACTCATCATAATATTCTAAATTTATAATAATATAATTATAAATCTTATTATTTTTCTTTACTTTTTAAATGCATTTATAATTTATAAGTAAAGCATTACACGAGAGAAGATTTTATTTCACGTGAGAGTGGAAGAAATAAATATTGGTTATTACGTCAAAGTTAAATTATGTGTATTTTTAAAATTTTTAAAATTTTTTTTAAGTAATTATATGAATTTTAAAATTATTTAATTTTAATTACTTATATATAATTATACCATTCAAACTTACTTCTCTTAGTATATTAAAAAACTTCTTTAATCAACTGCATCTCGGATATTATATATAAAAGTAAGATTGTCAATGAACATTATTTCATTCGAATAAAAAAATATTTTTATTTATATTAATTGATTTTTATTTATCATAGTTACCTAATATTTTTCTTTAACATTTTTAAATTATCATAATTTTTAAATTATAATTATTGTAAAACTATTTTATTCTAAGTGTTAATTTTTTTTAGTATTATCACATAAAAAAAACATAAATAATAATATACATATCTTTATATTTTAATAATTTAATTAAAAGATGCCAAAACTATATATTTTTATTATAAATGTATCATAGAATTTACTTATTTAAAAATACTTTCAAAGCTTAAATGTTAAACATAATGACCGGAACAAACACAACAAATGTCAAATGCTTAAAATAAATAATAATGATTATATGAGACAGTGTTGTAACTTAAAAAAAAAATATATGGGCAATTTAATCTTGATTTATTGATTTTTGAAAAATTCTTTTATTTTAAAAAAAGTAATTATTATTAAAGAAAACTTTCAAGATAATATCTACTGGATGTTTTTTACATTAATTTTAATGCATTTAATATATCATGTGCAGTTTTAGTACAGAAAAATTTAATCAAACATAAATTGACAATTTTTTTTTTGTAAGCTTGTATGATATAAGATGAATACATATTATATATCTTTTTATGTTACAATATTCATGTTGACGCTTAATAAAATGTTAGTGTTTAAAAAAAAAATTATCAATGTCATTATTATTATTAAATTTTTTTATTTATTATAGTTATAATAGAAAAATAATAATTATTTTTATAAAAAATAAAAAGGACACCTTTAAATATACATTAAAATGACACTCTCAATTTTTTTTATCTAATCCTATAATAATTTTATTTTTTATTTTATATAATAAATAATTAATAATTAATGCTTATTTAGTATATGAATAAATAAGCAGATTATTAATTAATACACGTGGATAATATACTAAAAACTTAAAAAAAAAATTTTTGTTAAATTAAAATTAATGATTTTACTAATATTTTGAATAAAACCTTGAACAACAAAAGGAAAAATAGATGAAGTACATAAAATTTTTTTGAATAATTTTTTTTCTTTGTGTAATGAATCTAATTTCTAGTTTTATAGCATTAAAATTTTTTAATGAGTTCTGTTATATCATTTCAATACTTTTTTACTATTTTATTAAATAAGCATCAAATAAAAAATATTTAATCATCTTAAAAATATTTAATAATTTATTTATTTAATAATTAAATGAATTTATAGATATAAGAAGTAAGGATATTCAGAATTAACATTTTGAATTTTGTATAAATGTATGAGAAAAGAGATATTAAATAAAATTTTTGTAAAATATTTTTATATTATTTAAAATAAACATACGTTAAAAATATATTCTTAATATAATAAACAATTAGTTTTTAATCAAGTATAAAATAAAAAAAGCAATTAAAATAAAATGATTTAACTCTTTTAGTATTTTATTTTTTACACAGCCTTTATTTATTTAATTATTATTTATTAATTTATAATCTTAAGAATTAAGCATTCTAAAATAATAATTTTTTATAGGACAAAATATTTATTATATTTAATATATAAAAATATAATAACTATTATTTTAATGAACTTTTATTTTTTAAAGTACTTAATCTTATCATAAAATAATTTTTTTGATATTTTTAAGATGTCGCGTAATTGATATATTTAATTTTGCTTATTAAAATAAAACATAGTTGTTCTAGAATAAATTTAGTTGCTGTAATATATATATATATATATATATATATATATATATATTAATCACATCTCTTTATTTGTATTTGTATTTAGTAATTTTTTTTTTTACAATTTAAATTTTTTATAAAGAAAAGCTATACATATTATAGGAAGACATTTACATTTAGGAGGATGAAAATTTTATCCAAACATGAAATAAAGAAAAAAAATAAAATAAAACAGGAAACATTTGAAAGAGAAGGGTGAAGAGTGTGGACCCCATGAGGCACCGAATCGCCGATAAAAAGAGCACCTGAAGGCTGAAAACGATCAACGGCCCACAAAAAGCCCAGTCAAATCGGGGCCCACATCACAGTGAGTTGAAAATTGACGACATTATCCTCGCCCTTGTCGCTCTCATTTTCAATTGCAGCCTTTTCGCTGCACAACACAAACACTCTCTACTCTGCATACTTCCCTTTCCCTCTCCCTCTCTTCTTTTCCTTGGCTCTGAATTCCGTGACATCCCGAAACCCTAGGCACTCGCATTTCCTGGACTCATTTTCAGGTGAAATCAAATTCAACTCATTTCCCCGCTTTAAACGTCTTTCTATTTGCATTTCAATTTTCCATAAATTTATAGCTGTTTCAATGTAATTTCATTTACGTTTATTACCTTTTTTTTTTTTAATTTTTATCTGAGCTATTTTAGGCATGTTTGTGTAAGAAACAGTGCATTTATGAGTGTTCCTTATTTAATGGTTACGGTTGATGCGAGAGAGAGGAGTGAGTGATGTGACCATCATTCTTAATGCTTCATTAATTAATGCTCGCGTGTTAGTGTGGTTGGTGCGCACTAATTTCACCCCTTTTAACTTCAAATTTATTCAACGCACTTATTTTGTTTTGTTTTTCTTGTCTTTTAAGCCTTGTTATTCGCAGCACTGTAGCCACCTAAGAACAAAAATGTTCGTTTCTTCCTTCATTCTTCATCTTTTCTCAGTTCACTGCATTTATTCCTTTATTCCATTTTTCACCGATTTTTTATTGCATTTCTCAATGCTGTTTTCCTCTTTCTTCCTTGCTTTGCTTGCATGTTGTTAGTGTATTATATTATTAGTATTTTTACTTTGCTTAATTTCAGGATATAGTTACTTGCAGTTCATGGCTTGGGATCTGTGGAGTTCGTCCTGTGATCAAGGTTTCTGGTCTCTCTTGTGATTAATTTATAGGATGTTTGCAGGTGCTGATTAAAGAATAATTTTTTTTTGAAGATTTTATTTAAAATCACGTTAGGAATGATCATATGAAAATGTATTAATAATATTTTTAATAAATAATTTCATTTTTATTTCCTAACCAGTATCTGAAAAACACTGCTAAGCATTTGTCTAATTTTGATCTGTATCAGTAGTGATATTGTGTGAAGTAATTTATTGTTTAGTGGGGTGCTTGAAATTCTTCTTTTTCTTGATTTTTTTTTCTCTGGTTATGTAATTTATTTACTTTTCTCAGCTGCCAGTGGTGGTGGTAACTACTCCCAGCATAATGTGTGGCAATGTGACTTCTACTTTGGTTGTGGACATGGTATTCATTTTACTCCGTCACACTGAATTTGTCTATGTCTCCTCTGTGATGGGGTGTTTACTCTAGCTTTCTGTTAAACTTGTAGATGCCATAGAGGAGGATGCTTTGAATGAGGAATCCTGTGTTCGGGTTTTGAGAATTTTGATCACCAAGGCAGATAGTGAGATTGAAGAGCTTGAAAAGGATCTTTTGTCCCTTCAGAATGAATTGGCCTGGGCCGAGCATGAAAAATGGCCTGATATATGCTGTAGTGCTCTGATTGAAAGAATCAACCGGCTTGATGTTGCGGTCAGCACTTTGAAGAATTATCATGCCGGTGATGCAGAGATGCAGCTATTGTTACGTGGTGAACCTGCGGAGACACTGCATGAAATAGTGAAGGCTTTACGGAGGGATCACTGTCAAGATACACTTGGCCAGGTTTGATTTTTAACACCCCCTTTCCTCTCCCCAAGTTTATGAAATGTGATTTTTCATGTTTGAAGATTGAAAAGAAGCTGCTACATTTCCCAAATTTGAAGATTGAAAATCCGAACTTTGTTTGTTGTTAACCATTTTAAGTACTTCTTCTGTCTTTGATTCACACACTCTTTTTATCTTCCCCAAAAAACTGATGAAATTCTCTATGATATTGTGTTTCTTTTGATGACAAAAAGCTGTATTGTGACAAGTTTTTTGTTTTAAAATTTTGTAGCTGAGAATGCGACGAGAGAGAGTTAAGAGTCCCGTTGAAACTGGGTGTAAACACGACATTATAATCCAAAGAGATACCCTCCTAATAAATAAGAGGCTTAATTGTACGGTAATCTTTATGGAATCTAAATGGTCTATCAAAGGAATTCAGTGCGGAGCAATTTAGTCCCTGCACTTTTTATTTTCAATAATCAGAGAAGTTCAGTCCCAATAGTTAATAATCGGTTTTTTTTTTTTTTCCTCTTTTACACAAATAAGCTTCTGAATGTTTTTGTTATCGGACTTAGCCAAGATGTAAGTCTAAGATGATGCAGAAATCTAATTGGTCTTTCGGATTCCAATCAAAGACAGCTGCTACAAAATAATTACTAAGTAGAGGAAATTGAAGAGTATACAAATCTTCTATCACCTCCTAAACAAACACACTTCTTAACTTCTTTTAGGAGCTGCAAGAGAAGATAGAAGAAAGATTGAAAATAGTTGGCTTTCAGGAAGCACGAGACACTGGCATATATTCCTTAATTTTTATTCTTCAAATATTTATGCAGGGTAACTAACTGTTATGCTACTATGGATTATAGTTTATACTACTGTAGTAACAATGGCTTATGGATTGTGCAATTGTATTATTATTATTATTATTATCATTACTTTTTTAAATTTAAGGGTTAACCTATGGATCTTCTGTCTTGCATGTGCAGGACAATGACAGTAATATGTATTAAGCTATCCTTATGGTAGTATTGGTTCTGACATGCAGTATTTAACTGTTGATACTTGGTTTAGAATGTAACTGGTATGTCCTCTTTTTCCCTTTCATTTTGAAGCAGCATCTAGATATGAGCATCTTGAATCCATTTGGGGGTGTTACTGAACATGATCTAGACAAAGATTCTAGCTCCATTGATTCAAATATAATCATTAAGGAGGAAGCAAAAGAATTCTGTGGAACCTCAGAAAACTCTGGAAGCTCAGAACTTCTTTCGGAGCTTCATGAAAAGAGATCAGACAATCCTAAAATGATTGAGGTTGAGAAATCTCTGTTACTGTATGCTTTTAATTTAAATATGCACTTATTTTTCCTTCTTGCGTGTCTTAGTGTACTAAGAATTTTTAAGCTTGAGGTGAACACTCTTTTTCTCTTTCTTTTTGCATAAAATAGTTGCTTGCTACACCAATCTTTGTTTTCAATTTTTTTAGCCTCTGGAATCTGTAATGTATGACATGTTTAAGACTCCTGCTTTGTGTTTGTGTGATGATTGCTTGAGACATGTCTACTTACTGCATATGTAGTTGCCTTAAATCATACTAATTTAACGTAAGTATGTGGTAATTCTCTGCTCTCTCCAACCCACTTAATTCCCTGACTGCACTGAATATGAAATGTCCTGAGACACATGTAGTGGAGATTTGTCAATAATAATAGCATTTAAGATTGAGGTTGGCTATATTCCGTTGAAGATTTGGCATATACCTTAAACTTGTAAGCAATTTTCATATAAGCCTACAAAGAGTTAGATATGCATGTCATTTTGTGCTTGCACAAATCTTGATCTTGTTATTATTTTCAGTTCAAAGTCCAACCAATCATCCTAAACTGATTTTTGGCCAATTTTGACACTCAAGTTTAACAACAAGCAGACTGCAAAGAATATCAAAGTTTCCGCCCCCAATTTCTTGACCTTGTTGCTGGCCATCCATAAGGGAGAGAACATTGGTAATCTTAATTCAGATGGATTTAGAGGAAGAAATTCAAAAACAAGTCATTTGCTTAGTTGCACTGAGTTATGCCTGTCAACTATCAACCATCAACCATCAAATATCTATATCAATACTCATTTAAAGATGCCTCAAAAATTGCTATGATCACGTCCATCGAGAAGAAATAGTCAAAGTATTCCTGATCTAACAGTTGAGTTTGAAGTTTAAGAAAGGATTCCCACACTTGTTCCTGACAGTATGAACCTCTGTTTGACATTGAAACCTAAGGAAAAGAGAGTGGATCCCAGTAAAAGGGCCAAGGTGGTAGCAGGTCTCTAACTTGGCGTTGAGCTTGCAATAGCGACGTGTATTATTATTATTTTTCCGATTTTGCTTTTTTTTGTGAGCTTGCCAACCATGAAAGGTCCTTGCTTACCATTTTTATGCATGATAATTTGATCATGTCCTTGCTTTAATCTTGTATGTAATGCCTTATAAATCCCTTGTCAAACTTGTCTCAGCTAGTGGACCTGCTACAGATCCTGACTAGATTTTGTTTTAAAGGAATTTCATGAAGAGTCTCTTGCAAGAAGTCCTGATTTGGGGGCTATCAGCTGTGCACCTGATCAATCTGATGGGGTGGAATTATCAGAAACATCAGATAATATACTTAATGGAAACGAGGAAATTACAAGAAGCCAACTCATTACTACAGATACAGGTCAAATCTTGAATTTGTTTTCTGCCAAAGGCAATGGAAATATTCCAAGTGAAGCCAAGGTGCAAGAAGTGCTGTTATTCTCCTTTTAATCAATTTAAACTTCGTGGATGTAGTTGTTACTCTCTTAATTATTCTAAACTAGGTTTTTGATGCATTAATATTTCATAAACTGTGCAGGAAAATGAAATTGTCAAAGAAAAAGATTTTACCTCAGATGATTTAAGACTTGAAACTGATGTCAAGGGGAGGAAAAAGAATCTTCATTCCAGATTAGGTACTTCAAAACATCGAAAAAGTGGAAATTCTGATTTAGACAAAAAGCTATGCGATTTTGCTCCAAAAAGCGCACGAAGAGCTAGCAAGAAAGAATCCAAGGTTGCTCTGGAGGAAGATTTGGACCCTGTGAATTTACCTCTACAAGTTGTTTATCCTCGAAAATGGTGTATTGCTGATACTGAATTCTGCTCCTTGAAAGGAAGTAATGGTAATAGTTCTGGACAAGTGATAAACATTGAAAATGCCACCCTTATTCATGCTGAAAATTCTGCATTGGTTTCTCTGCTAGGGATGCAAACCAAGAGTGCCGTATATGGGTTACAACTGACAGATGAAGAGAAACCCCAAGCACAAGGCCTTGAATCTGAAATAACTGCTAACCTCAGCAAGTCCAATATGAGTTTCCCTACAAAGCTAAAAGCTCAGGGAAAGCAGAAACCTGAATTAAACACATTAGCTGCTGGAGAACCACGGGAAAGTTGTACAGAAGTTCTTCCAAGTTCATCCATTGTTGTATCAACCAAGAGGCAGCGAAAATCTAAACCCAGTACTGATGATGCCATTTTAAATGAGTCCATGAACAGGAAGATTACGAAAAGAGCAGTGCAACCTGGCCAGCATGAAACTGAAGGTCGTTCTATTGTTCTTTATGACAGCAAATTTTCTGAGTTACAGAAGAAAAGAAGAGTTTCAAAGCTGCCGATCACAGTGGAAATACAAAATTCAACTGTTAACATGGACGTACCAAATTCAGATAGGAGTTCTATGGACAACGCAAGCCAGGTAGATCTTCATATTAGCAAGTCATATTCCTTGGTGGATTCCCATAATGGCACCTCATCTTTGCTGCCTATTACTTTGAAGAGCTTGACATTGAGTGATTTGAGGGCCATGGCTAAGCAACACAATGTAAGAAAGTACTACAAGCTTGCAAAAGGAGCTTTGGTTGAGCAATTAGTTGAGCGACTCAGTAGCTGCTGAACTTACTTACGATCCGGCTTGCTGGTGATATCCCATTTCTGCTATGCTTTTTTGGTTATCTTTATTGGTTATGTCCAGTGCTTCCATGGAATTTGGTATAGGATTCTGACATAGTTATGAATGATAAATAGGCAAACCTAAATGGATTTTGTGACAGGATATTGTACAGCCCATAGATAGAATGAATACTTGGAGTACTTTGTAAATGAAAGGAAGTATAGGTTTTCTTCCTTGCAGCTGGTTAGGCATTATGACCTCATAGGAGACTTCGATTGGTTACATTCTGAGTATTTTTCCCCTTAAAATTGATCAAAACCTGTTCTTACCTGGATTCTGCCATATGGGATTTGGGCCACTTCTCCTGTCGTTGCTCCAAGGCTCCCTGTTGTTTCCAAAGAAAAAGAGGAAATATATTTTCAAATACACTCCGATGCTTGGGTAAGAGGCTTCACAGGTGGAATTGGGTGATCTTACCTGGAAAATTTACTTCCTCTATATGATGGTTGGAGACAACGAAAATATAGAAGGTTGTGTCCCAATTAAATTGAATACCTCTTAATGAAATAAGATAAGTGTAGAAACTTGGTAACCATATCACTGATAGGATCATGAATCAAGATCTTCTAAGATCATGATTCAAATGAGGGAAATAATTAATCCGTGATCCTTGTATGCGACCATCTTAAATTTTTGTTATGCCAGCCAAGCACACATTTTTTCCGCGTACCTGGGTACCTACTTTCAGCTTAACCAAAAAATAAATAGAAAAAATAGAGAGAAGCAAGCATTAAGAAAGAAGACAAGATAAATGAAGAACAGATAACTGGTAAGAAACAGCTTTTTAAAATGAGACCTGAGAATGGGGAGCGAAATATCTTATTAATTTGTAATGTGTGTTTAGATAACGGTTGAAGTTATACCTTTCATCTTAAAATACACTTCGACATAATTTTAGTTTACAAACACTCACTGCATGTGAGATTCATTAGAATTATTTGTTATTTCAATTCTTTTTAGATGAATACATAAGTTATAATATGGCCGGCCCAACCCTAAAGCAGGTAAAGCCCCTACTTTAGGCTTCTATTTTTTATTTTTTGTTTATTATTAAATATAAAAAGGTAATATTTTAATAATAATATTATTCTACTGAGAGTAATTATTTTTTCAAAAACCCTTCATTTTATTTAACTTCTCTTTTCCTTAAAACAATATATTGTTTTAAAAAATAATTATATAAAAATTATAAATAAATAAATAACTTTCTTTTTAAGAAGAATATGCGCTCGTGCACACAACTAAAATTTTAAGAAGAAAACACACTCACAAATTTTAACATAAAAAAATTCAACTTTTAACTTTAAAAAATTATAAAATTATCAAACAATTTTAGTTTAAAATTTATTTCTCTTATTTTAATTTTAACTTTAAATTAAATTTAGTTAATGATTTTTTCCTTAAATGCACCAAAGATATGACTAGCTAAAATATTTTAACTGAAAAATAAGTGGCTATATATTAACACCCATAGTTGCTAAGGTAGACCTACTTACTTTCTAGGAGTATGTTAAGCAGATTATACTTTTGATCTTATTAAACTACGCCCAACGTGTAACTTGCTAAAATATTCCTTTTTATTTTAAAAGTTGATGGATGTTAGCAGATCCTTGTAAACATATACTCTTGAGTTTCTAATCGTAATGATTATAATCAGGTCCGTTTTTAACCTTTTTGGAACCTTAGGAAAAATAAAAAATTAAACTCATTTAAAAAAAAATATATAAAATATAATAAAACAAAATAAAAATATATGCCAATAATTTTATTAAAATAATATAATTTTTTTTAATAAAATTACAAAAAAAAATGTTCTTTCATTCAAATAATTCATATGTTATAATTAACTATTAAAACACAAAAACTTATAAAAAATAGATTTTATGAGCATTTTAAAATATAAAATTATTAATGATAATATTAACATCAATATTTTTTAAAAATTCCTTCTTAATCAATAAAATAAAATTACAAGATCATTCAATTGTTTTTATGACATTAATGATCTTAGATAAATTTTGATCAACTTTAACTTTGAAAAACTTCTTTTAGCTGATGCTACAGTCTCTAGGACTGTAAAAAAGAATATATAAGTGATTAAAATATTTGAATAACAATTTGAGAATTAAATAAAGTTTTGAGTTTAGAGTAGTTAAGGAGTTAACTACTTTTATAACAAATGAGATGCAAAAAATTGAAGGGTCTTTTTTGTTTTTCTATTTTTTTTCAACTGCAAATTGCAATTAAAAGTTAGAATTATTTTTTCATGTAAAAGCAAAATACGATTTTTATTTTGGACCCCTTTCAAGCTTAACCCTGGACAATCACACTTCTAAACTACTCTCATGGCCGAACCTGATTATAATTCCGTACTTCGATAGTTGAAGAGACAAGAAAGATAATAAGTGAGGTTTTTGCCGCTACTTGTGGAGCTGTTTAGCCTTAACGGTGGAAACAGGAAATAGACTCCTATTGCTTGAAAATGATCAAGGTGGTCCTAACTCTTATCACCGTTGTTAAGGTTACTGTCACGGATTTGTTGTTAGTTAGTCAGAAATAATAATTAAAAAAAAATATTGCAAGGGTTACAAAGAAAACTATTGTGAGTAAATGTAGATAAGACAATAATTATTTAGTTAAAAGTAATGATTTTCTTTTGTTTATAATCACTTAACGTTTAATAATATAATGAGGCAAGTATTTGATATAAATTAAGGGCATTATACTACTATTATAAATAATAGATTATACTAATATATTATATGGCAAATAATAAAATTCTATTATATTATTCTTTCTCTTTCTACTTCTAACAACTATTACTATTATATTGGGAAATACTAGTTCAATACACTCATCAGAAACAGTGGTTTATGACACAGACTTGATTTATCAATGTTGCCGAAGTTAACAATTTCAGATTCGCACACACAGGTGATAAGGGAAAGCAATTCAAGGCCCCTTTTTTTCTCCTCAAATACATTCCTTTGTTCTCCAAAATTGAGGTGGAATTGTAGGAGATAAACTTTGTTCAAATGTAAGCATATTACATTCCATTTCAAACCTTTATAATTTAACTTCCAAAAAACATAATTGAGTTCCTTTCCCTCATTAATCTTCCAAACAAGAAGAAATAAAGGTTGCTTTGTTTCGGTCCTTCCCCTCCCCTTGTATCCCATCCTCACTTATTCCATTCCATTCCATTAATGAAGAAAGAGAGTCCAAAAACAGTTTTACTTCCATTTTGGCCACAACGAGGTGGTGTCTGTGAGGCAGTGACTTCTCAGCTGTTGCAGTATATCTGGGAGTTAAAATTCCAATTGATCTAGTAACTTATATTTTGACATATATACATACAACAATGTAATACAAAGTCCATCACAAAATAATACATTCATGCTCATTAAAATATTCCCTTTGACAAACGCTTCCGATATATGGTTGCATCCACATTGGTTTTTGCCAAGAGAAAACAATCATGGTTGTCCAAGAAGTGAAGGCCTGTAGAAAACATGGCTTTGTGCAATTTCAATGCGCTCACGAGGATCATTCAGATTTTCATCTCTCAGAGCTTTCAGAATAGCTTGTGATGACTGTTCCCTGAGAAATCCAGCATGCAGCAGAGGCATGGGAAACTTATTAAGTGCATTCACAAGATCCATATATAAGACTTGAAAAATGTAGTACTTGGAGTTGGAATGAAAGTGTTCAAGCACAACATGTATAAACCAATACTCAAGTAAAGTATTGCAGGAGATTACCTGGATATCAATATTTTGTATAGTGTCTTCAAGATAGGGCATAGCTCTACAGGAGCAACAGGCTTGTTTTCTTCAGGATGTAACACATTCAGGCTAGATTGGCTCAGAAGTTCAAAGAATGCCTCCACTGCAGACACACCCTTGAAATAAATGGCAGGGATAGCATTTTTGTTTAGTCAATGGAATTTGAATTAAGGAAAGAAATTGACTCTATAAGGAGAAATCCATGAGGAAGATTTCTCTATCTCATGTGAATGATATTAATTCCATCTTTGGTGTGGCAAGTGCATCTATGAGGGCCAAAAGTCCACTACATTTTTCGGTTGCATGCAAATGTTATGCGCTAATCTTTTAGTTTTGGGAAATGAAATCACTCGTTATTTATTTTGTTTTCACATTCAAAGCATGAAATGTTGATTGGTTGTCCTTATTTACTAAATGATTGGCATATGTCAAGTAAAAAATGTAGCATTTTATTATTTATCAACCAGAATGCCTTGGACCTTATAAAGCTAACATAAGCATACATAAATTACCAGCAAAATGTACATACCATCACCATCATATTTTCTTCATTTAAAAAACAGATAAAAGTCCTACTAAAGTCATGAAAAAGAGTGCTTCCTGCTACAGGATACTGCTAGATTTTTTGTGAAGCCCCATCACATCTTAAAGATGCAATTGACACATCTCAGGAGCATAGCATGAGTTTGGAAGAAACTAGTGCAAGGAAAGTCAAAAAACATACCTGAATCATTCCCTTGCCACTAATGCTATCACCCATGTCTGGTCTTAATTGACCCTTAGCTAACATCTGGCCATACCATGCATTACGGCCTTTTAACAAGGTCACATAAGTGTCAGCCAGTAATGGCCCTGCAAGTTTCTCAGGTTCTTCAGCCAACAAGTGAGTGATAAATATCATTTCTGATGTACAGTGTGCAAAGTATACAGATTTGCTGGTAGCACTCTCATTGGTAAGGGCAGCTACCATTCCTGACAGCATTAAAAAGAAAAATAAAAAATATGCATTGTAAATCGAAAGCAAGTTTAAGACAAAATAATGTTTTTTTATAAAATTGGAGGTATGTTGAACCCTTGCTTTTCCAAGTTAAAGGCAACTTGTATGTTTCTTTAGCAGTGAAGACACACAGAATCCTTAATTCAATTTACAATAATATGCATAATCAATCATGAAATTTTTATCTATATATATTGATATGTACTGTGACAGGAAGAAATTTATGGCTGGGTTTTACATGCTTGTATTTTTCTTTAAATTGTGGAATCTTTATGGGAGATAATTATCTAAATTAGGGAGTGAATCAACACATAGAATGTTGCTGCAAGTTTGACATTAGATGTAAAGTGATGATAACTAATATGAAGCTTACCAGCTCCAATTGCATAGACATTCTTCAAGCCACCCATGACCTCATGTGTGACAAGGTCACTGTTGTCCCAGACAATAAAGTGTGGTTGTCTTAAAAACTTTGCCAGATGTTTCCTCCATTTCTCAGCTCCACATATTCTAGCATTGGCATACTCCTTGTTGTAGATTTCTGAGGCAATGTTTGGACCCCCAAGATAGAGTATGTTCTCCATAGGCACTCCAGCTGTCAAGTTTACATTGCAAAGAATAGAGAATCAGGGAAGGAGTAAATATGTTGCAAAGTAAGTAGGTTATGATAACACAAATCAGATAAAATAAGTAAGAGAGTAATCACTAGTAAACAAAGATGTCCCAGCACTAACTTCAGCATGAAAATTTTCCATTGCTTGGTATCAAACAAATTCTTCTAGGAAACAATTAACAAAATAAGACATCAATGAGATCCTGACAGATATAAAGGTATTGCTGAATGTTGTTTACGGTTTTCCTTTCACTCATCTTCATCTTGATATGAAATAATTGTTTCTGGTTCTACTCTCCTTTGTACTACTCCTACCAAACTAACTACAGAAATATTGCCAGAATGACATCAACTTCAATTACTAAACATGGAAGATTCCGAGCATCTTTCAGTTGTAGGCTTAAAAGGAAAATGAAATATTGTAGTTATTCATTCCACATCAAGATTTTACCAGATGATTCATTCTCATAATTTGCAAAAAAGGACAAGAGACAAGATTATAATCATCACACTTGTTTGCTTATCTCCTATCCTGACTAAGGCATTCAAAAGATATTTATACTTATCTATTAGAAAGAAGCTAAAAATGCATTGAGAAAAGATACCAAATAAATAGAGATGAAGAAAAACTCTTACTTGCTTGGTTAATCATTTTTGTGGGAGTTATAATATGAGGAACAGGCTCCAATGCAGCCTCTATACCCTTTGACAAAGAGATAATTATAGGCACAGTGATCCTTTCCTTCCAATATTTACTTATCTCTTCAAAAATCTCACGTGTTTCAGTTGAAGGCAAACCATTAACTACAATATCAGCATCCCAAACAGCTTCTTGCAAGTTTGTCACAACCTTCAAAGGACAAAGAGGGGTATCAATCATATTCAAGCAAAACCCATCTTTCAGAATCTCATCAGCAAAGAGGGTCCTATCACCAAGCCTTGCCTCAACATATTTAAGATAAGCACAACGCCGAATCAACCTCCTCAACACATCCTCTCTTGAGTTGATAACTTCAAAGAGATGTTCTGCAGTGCCTCTATCAACTGCTCTTCCTGCTCTTCTCCATATCCTGATTTGTATCTTATCCCTGAATTGACCATAAGTATCTTGTAGCAATGCTGCAAAAACACTTCCCCAAGCACCAGCTCCAACACTCACAATTCTCAAAGGATCACCATCACCCTTACCAACAAGCCTCCTCAAACCATCAAGCTTCTCCTCTACCCCATTACAATTTTGAACAGAAACAGACCCATTTGAGTATGGATTATGATCCATTCCCATAATGCTTCCCACCATGCTCTAAAAGCTAAGAATGGTTAAAAAAACTCTTAAAAAAGAAACCAACGAAAGCTTATATTTTTCAATGATTGAGGCCTATATGAACTTCAATAGAATTGTCTATGAACTAAACTTAGACTCCTATATAACCTGCCTCAATCTTATGCTTCTCACTTTCTCCTCACTCAACTACCATTTTTTCTTTCTTTTTACCATAAGAATAAGATTGCCTTCACGAAATGTGAAGCATTGGAAAATCAGATCTTCTTGGTAGATATTGCTTGACCAAAGCTGAACATTATTTAATTTGGTTCTATCCAGAAGTTCTGACCAAAAAATGAAGCCTATCCCTCTCTAAATTTAATTGAAACATGCAATGCATGAACCATGATATATATATATACACACATACCCATAAAATCTCCCATTTTTCTTTTAGTTTCTAAGCAGGGCACGTGCCAAGCCAAAAGAATAGATAAGGATAATGTGTAAAAAACCAAAACCAAAACCAAACACAAACACAGCAAAAACTTTGTTTTCTCCGTCTCTTGTTAGTTGATCTACCCAACTGTAAGACACGGCTAGTGCCAATAGAAAAACCAAACTTTCGTGCTGGGAACTACAAAGTTATGCTTCTTCAATGAAGGGGTTGATTTACTTTAACTCCATCAACTCATGACCCCACTATATATATATATATATATATATATATAATTCAATTTGGATCTTAGGAGCATACATTATTGGAGGGAAAGCTAAATAGTTAAAACAAACAAAAAAATAAAAATAAATTTTTTTATAAGCAATATAGATTTTATTTAAAAACTAACATCATATGTGAAGCTAAAAATAATTAATTAGTTGTTTATTTTTTTACATACACATATATAAAATATTCCCTAAAACAAAAAAAAAATTTAAATTTTTTTTCAATTTAAATAAAAAAAAAAGACATTTCCAAAATTTACTGGATTGGAACCAGAATCTTCTACCCTTGTAATTTTTGGTATGCCACATGGATGAAGGTGTTGATGAGAGTGCCACCTATCAATCTATATGCATTAAAAGTTTTCGGGTGTGCCCAACTTCCCCAACGGTCATTAATATTGTATGACTTTGCCCATATTTTCATGTGATGTGCCCTCTCAACTTTGGCAGATACAGTCACATTTCTTCAATAATATGTCCTTTTATTTGGTTGATGGACACATATTAATTCTTGTGCTTCTCATGTTCTGCGTATTAGACCTTGTCGTATATGCAATATTAATGCCAAAGTACTTGTTAGATGGAACGTTTTCAGCTAATGTAATCGAATTCAGCTATCATTCACTAAGTTCTAATCAAATCTTTTGGAAGACTACAGATGAATTTAGGTGATTGAATCAGTTCATTTTAATTGCAATCAATTACACGTGATTCATGCATGCATCTTGACGCTAATGTTTTTTTTTTTTTAATTAGTTTATCCAAACACTCTTACTAATTTTAACTGAAAAAGATTTTGTTGATTTTGCTTTCAACCAGAGAAGAGGTTGGGAATTAGTTAAGTGTCTTATGAAGGCTTTTATTATTAAAAAAGTTAGGTTAATATTTTTTTTAAAGCAAATTTAATTGAGAAAGTCAAGTTTTACCTCATCCTAAAAGCTTTTTAATGTAATAAGTAAGTCATTTAAGTTGTTATCATTGTTGTTATATCAGAAAACATAAAACAAAATCAATTCGAACACTACTTAAATACTAATGGGTAAGGTTCCAAAATGTATTTGGCCCACTCTACACCGACTAATCCTAATAAAATTTATGCAAAAGAATTATGAGTGTTTTTATTATCTACATAGGCCAAGTTGGTTAAGGACCAATTCATTAAATAAACTACCGACATAATTTAAAATAAATTAAATGAGCTAAATTAATATTTAAATACGCCCTAGTCACTCAGGTTAAAGTATGGTTACCAGACTATGAACAATTCAACCATTTTAATATGGTTTAGTAATAAAAGTGTAACATAAAAAAATACAATGTGAAAAATAAATTGACAGTTTTTCCAACTTTCACATAATCCTTGCCGTTGAACATCCTTTTCGTAATAGATAAGCAACGAAGGATGAATATTACTAAGGAAATTATAAATTGTAATATCATATTAATTTATTTGAAAAATTAATTACATAATGTAATTGAAATGTATCGAAATTTTCATTGTTGGACAAATCTTTTTCAAGAGGAAATAAAAACCTTCCTTGACCAAAATTGATATTTAGCTTTCTTCGGCGGAAAAATTTAAATAACTTATTTACTTTCTTTTTGAATTCAGAATATCTTAGTCAAGTAAAGAGTACAAATCTTGAGGGCGGCACCAGCGAACTGTTTTGTGAGGTCAATAAATAAGAATGAATTTTTTTTTCCCTTTTGGGTCAACAATTAGATTCTTAGCTTGAAGGATCGCATTCACAAGGGTTCTTAATATGATAGAATAATCTTTTATTTTTTCATTATTTGTTAATACAATTTTTCTTTTATCAATGTCAAATACAATCAAACAATCCAAAATAACATATGATCTTGTGTTTGTTGTCGCCCAAAGATTGTTCTTCGACTTCGACATCAACCAAAGGTTTACCATTCCAAAATAACAGACCCAATGACAAAAACAATAAAAAATAAAAATAAAAAACTAACCCAACCGAAAGCAAATAGCGTTGCTATATTTATATTAATTTCTTATCTTCAAATAGTAATTATACCTCTGTTTTAAATGCTATGTACTTCAGTCTATTTTATTATAAATAAACTTCCATATGATAATCAGTTAAAAACAGTCCTCTAAATCCCTTTTTTTTCCTTTCTTTTACTGACTTTTAATATTACTTACAATTATTTTTTAACTTTGGTATTTACTTACTCCAGAAGATAAAATAAAAATTCAAACATCCTTTATTATACCCTATTCAAGACTTCACTTAAAATTTTAGTTTAATTTTTTTAAATAATAACAATAATAATTAGGTGTCATTAATAGTCAGTTGTAAATACTTGAAATTATTGATTTGATCTTGCACACGCAATCCATCCTACTTCGATTTTGTGAGGGTGTCAAAGTGAGGAGTTGACCACTGACCAAATTCAGCACATTAGCAAATTTATATTATATAATAAAACACTCCCAAATATTAAGAACCTATGATGCTGGAGAGGAATGCACCTTTTCTTTTTTATCTTTTTAACACCTAAAATCGAAGCTGAGTTACTAGCATTCACGGTAATATGAATTAAACATGTTATTGGTCACGAGAGATCTCACATAGGGTATCGAATTTTCATGCAATGAACTTAATAAGGGTGGCAAGCAAGATTACAGGATATTAATTATCATTAGTTACAAATAATTGCTAGTGGCACATAAAAAATCAACTCTACTAAGGATGGAGCAATCTTTACAAACTACAAAGCCCCATAATCAGCATACATTAAGAACTAATACCATGTACAACCTATGATATACACCTTTGCCTGTCTTGACTCAACTTTGCCGCCACTATTTCCAGTAAGACGAGAACCAAGAAATAGGGAACTAGAAACTGTTGATCAAATATAGAGAGCCAAATTTAGCAGTCTCCCCAAAATTGTCAATTCACAGGGCTGATAGAATGGTCACTCCCATGTTTTGTAAAATGTCTCACTATGTGTTTCAGTTGTCTTGGCCTGATTCTGATATAGAACCTCCGGCATTATAATCCCTTGTAGGTGGAAATTGGGGCTGCTCTGGGACCATGGTAGGAGTCCCAGTAAAAGCCTCTTCAAACTTTTCGTTCACATTCTTCGTTATCCTCTTCGGTCTCTTGGGTTTCTGGCTAGCTGGATCAGTATTTGGATGGACATCATCCAATTCATCGTCCATAGGCGTAGTACTAAATTCACTCATCTTCTGAGAATTCTTGGACCTCGAAGTTTGCTTATCTGAGGCAGCTTTTCTCTGCAAACAGACGTTATGTTGCCAAATTAATATTCAAAATAAAACTTGCAATATTTGAACTCCCTGAACATCAGTACATCTAAAAATTCAAATCGCTCAATTTTAAATACTAACATATAAATTATATAACCAACAAATGCTACACATTTGGATCCTTTGTTGTCACAGGATCACCAGGTTGGAAAGAGAGATCAAAGTTTTATTGTGTAAGAACCATGATGGGTTAAGGGAAGATTAAACATTAATTTTGTCTATATCTTTTTAACAGTACCTCTCATGTTATTTGAATTTTGAAGAGAATTAGATCCAAATAAATACATTCCCTACAATTTTCTTCTCAAAAAGAAATCTACACAGATTTCCAAATGTGTAGATGTACAATTAATCAATAAAATAAGCACAAATATGCAGTCATTAAACACACACAAGTAATGTGTCCTTTTCCCCAGTTTTATGTGAAAAAAAGCTTTCTGAATGTGAACATACTTCCTTGAAAAAATACAGCTTTACCACAAGACTTAATATATACCCTATAGACTACTAACCAGAAAATACTCCAGTCCATCTTTTCACTCCCTCTGGTTCAAAATAAGTGATGTGTTGATGAAAGGCATAACAAGATTAAGAAAGTCAAGACAAGACTTAATTATGGGACCTTTTTACTAAACTACCCTAACTCAATTTACAGCGGTTACTTAAAATTTTAGGATAATTAATTCATGAAATGGTATTAGGGCCTCAATGACCAAATATTCTAGAGTTTGAGCCTCATGCACGTTATTCTAACAAAAAGTTCAACACAAGGTAGGTGGGCTTGTGCATTGTTCATTTCAAACCCCAAGAGGCTCTTGTGTGAGAGGGCGTGTTACAAATGCAATATAAAAATAAAACCATTCATGTATCTTCACCTAATAGCTTAAGTTTTTAGGATAGTTGGTTTGTGATAATTGTATTGCCTAATTTACAATTGTACAATACATTAATTGAAATATATATAAACAAAATTATGATTTTTCAACTAAATAAATAAATAGAAGTACAATATTACCTTTTTATTACTAGACTTTGATCCCTCTGGCTCTATGGAAATATCATAATCTGAATTACCCTGGGCTACGGTGTTTGTTAGGTCTTCCAGAGATGCATCACCTTCTTCATTTAACCGAATACCCTTCATAGGTAATTTTTTCTTTTGCTTATCCTTTACCTGGAAAGACAAGTGAGGTCAAACACAACCAGAAAATTTCTGAAAATGGCTTTAGGGTGGCTTTAGGGTTTCTGTAATGTATATTTTTCCTTATTGTTTCATTTGGTTGATCAGAGGGATATTAAATATATTGTAAAATAATGAAGTTTGCTATCCAGATTCCCAACCAACCTGGAGAGGGATTTCCTTTAATTTCTGCTCCAACTGTACATCATCTAGAAGCAAAGATACAACATCCTCAGGAGCTAAAAGATCACCACCAACAGAACCACCAGTCATAACAAGGTTCTGTACAGTACTTTTCTGACTAGCTCTCACAAGAATCTTCTCTTCAACTGTCTCTTTACATATAAGTCGGTAAACAGTAACCTAAAAGTTTAAAATACATATATAAATTAAAAAAAAAAAAAAAACTGCACAAGTTAAACACTTAAAAACTAAAAAGGAGTAGCTATAATGTCTGAGCAAGAAAATATGTGCATTCCAGAGAGAGGAAGGGATGCAGCAGTTCCAGATATGCAATGATGGAAAATTCATAGAGAACATACATTGTGATCAAAACGCAACATGGCATCCATAGAATAGTAATGTGTGTTTCATTCAACATATTTTAAAGAAATAATCTCTTATTTCTGCCAACTCCCTAATAGAGCTCTTAAAAAAGTAAATAATTCTTTTTTAAAATTCAAGTATTACAAAATGCACTAACAAGGCATGTGCACACGAGGTGAAAGGGGAAGGGAGAAGTAGATGGAAAGATGGAACTAACATCTTTTGTTTGACCCAATCGGTGAGCTCTGTCCATTGCCTGTAAATCCAATGTTGGATTCCAATCACTCTCGTAAAATATGACTGTGTCAGCAGCTGTCAAGTTGATACCCAATCCACCAGCTCTTGTGCTCAATAAGAACACAAAAATATCAGTCCTACAACAAATTAATAAGAAATATCATAAATTGCTGCATAATGCAATAAGTAATGTTCGTAATCTATCCAGAGTACAAAATGAAAATATTACAAAAAGTTAGAAGGCATTACCTATGCTGAAAGTCTCTGACCATGTCTCTTCGATCCTGAATAGTAGATGATCCATCAAGTCTAAAATACCTATATTTTCTGTAGTTCATGTAGTCCTGCAAGAATGATTATCAGTCATCATATATAACAGAAGACCCATAAAAGTGGAAGGCCAAAAGGCAAGACTGGTAGAGCAATTATGTTGAACACTTGAACTATACATAGATCCTCAACATGGTAGGTAGGAAGGTTTCCATTTTCATATCATTGAACATTTGTAACTTACCCAAATAGCCAAAGTTCTCAACTTAAAAAAAGTTGAATCAAATATATTTAATTGCTTTAGGAAGAAAACATACATACATACACACACATGCAACTTCTAGGTCTCCTCACAAGCTGATTTCATATAAATTGTGATCACTACATTGAAGGGAAATTAACTAATTCCAAAGGGGTCTCAAAATGACTAATTTTATTCATTCATTTACTCGTGTGTCACATCTTTGAATATATCAGAATCATACTACTCCAGATTTTTATATATGTACACACACACCCCCCAACATCAAAAGGTTTAACATTGCGAAAAGTTTGAAGTACCTCCAAAATATTCAGCATCTTGGTCATCTGAGCAAACAAGAGAACGCGATGATTTTCTGCTCGTAAGCGTTTCAATAATATGTCAAGTGTTTGAAGCTTTCCAGAGTCCTATATGAAAATTATGTTAATTAGAAGATTAATTCAACGTGACAGTTGAGAGAAGGGGGGACATTCCATGAGAAAGAAAGAACAAGCATAAAAGCAACACTTACAGTGAGCAATTTTGCTGGGTCAAAATTCCGCATAGGTGGACACGACCCAAAAATACTGTGCGTTAACTGAAGAGCAGGCTGAGAAACAGGTAGTTCAGAATCTATCTCTTGAATTAAATGATGGGGACCATCTGGCTTTCTAGGTCCATTATAATCAGATGTACGTGCAAAGCCCACAAACAATCTCTTAACCCAGGGATCATGTAATTCTTCAATCATTTTATAGTAGAAGTTTCTATCTGAGCAATGAGCACCAATCTATATGGCGAAAAAGAAGAAACGTGGTCAATAATCAATTATCGTTTTGTTAAAAAATGTAACTTATTTTGGAAAAAAATAACTAATGAGCATATAATAAAGAAACATAACATACTGGGGGAGCTCTACTTTGGGGAATATATGTGTAAGCTGAGTGAAGAAGCCTAGCATTTGATAAAAGCCTATCCTGATGTGGGACAACCAAGGCCTCAAAAGGAGCTTGGCTGGGCCCAGTTGGCAATCTTTTTTGAAGAAACTGGGTCTCAGATCTTGACGGCACCAATAACATTCGTGTAACGGTTCTCACTTTTTCTTTCTCAAGGTAACTGCATTCTGGATCATCATCTATGGTCTCCATTAGGAAGTCCACAGCTTCATCAATGAATTTTTGTTCCCATCTCATCATAGAAAATAATAGTTGCTCCATTAAAGAACTGGTAGCCAGAAATGTCACCTCTTGTGGAGACAAATCTATTAAATGGGTAAAACCAAAGTTTCCACTTTTAATGCACTTATCTTCTGAGAAGACAGATCGATAAACATTTTCTGGTCTAAAAATATTAAAATGTTTCTGAAAGGATTCTCTGGAGACACCATGACCAACAGCTGAACTAAGAGTGTCAGAACTTTGCATAATTTCTTGATAGACAAGTTTTGGAATCTGAAAAATTGTGGGGAAAATAACAAAAACAGTAAGGAAAAGAAAATACTGCAGCAGGCATTATTAACATGATGTAGCATAGACAGCTCATTACTAGGGGAAAGAGAAAATCCTAGACCAAAACAAAAGAAAAAGCAACATCAGCATGACCTTGGTCATTTATTAACCACATATAAAGAGATTTTCCTAAGGGTAAACATTTTCATGTTGAAACAAACTTCCCTTTTACAATACCAAAATAAAAATGTCAATATGACACAAACCATCATGTTTCATATGTATTAAATTTTACCCACAACTTAGTACATATGGAACCAGCTACACAGTGTGCATAATGTAAGGTAGTGTGAAACACAAAATCCACCTAAAATTAGCACACTGACTAGATGCACATAGAAGATAAGCCATCACAAATCAGATCTGACATGAAAGTGTGACACATCAGACAGAATAGACCAATGTTTTGTGCAAAATAATTAATTCACCCATCATCATCCCCCACATGTGCATTCTTTGTTTTCTGATTTATATGCTCCCATATAAAAAAGAAAGAAAATTACTATTTTATCATTTTATCCTTTCATATCCTCTTTCGATTCTTCTCAAACCTTAACCTTGAGTCACCCATTAAACAATCCTCTTTACAACAACAATTTACTATGAACCCATTTTAAGACCATAAAAATTACCAACCCAATAGCTAACATTGCATAAATTAAATCATCGTACTAAAATTTCAATTGCTGGCTTTATAAAATGTAAGAAACAAAACAGTGGCAACATTGCAACGAGATCCTGTTTCCTGAATGAAATTATGTTTTTCATAAAACAATCTCTGTTCATAAATCAAATTAGTTTTGTTTCAATTACAGAGTCAAGGATAGTTTGAGCAGTACAAGACCAATCACCTTTGTCTCAGGCTCTCAGCTATAGATTCAAGGATGATTGTTTAAGCAGTGTGCATAACCAATCATCCACAATGTAAAGATTCCCTACAATAGATTTGTGATATGATAGGAATGGAGAGATCTACTTCTTAAGGAATCAAACATGGATAAGTTTGCAACAATACAAGACCATATAAAATTGAATCATTTGACATAGTAAGGCATGAGGATGAGGAAGTACCTCATATGATATGGGGTTGTGACCACCAGAATAATACACATCCTCCAACTCCCCAAATGGAGGAGGTGAAAGGGAATTCGGAATCTCTCCAAAGTAAAGGTAAGTGCTTCCCTCACTCCTTTCGAACAACTCTGGATGATTGCAAACCTATCATATTTAAAGAGCAATATTTATTAAGCACATTCTTGAATCACAACAATCCTTATCTCAAAAAGAACCATATCATACAAAATTCACACTACTAGAATTCAGTACAAAGAGAAAAGAAAGCCAGAATAATATGGATTGGTTACCTTCCTTAATTGAATAACAATGTTCATTAAGTTTAGAATTCTCTTCTCATTGAGCTGCCCACGATTACTATCAAACAACTCAGCAAGAGATATCTTGTTCTTAATTGCTTGATAGAAAGCCTGCTGCCGAGAACTCAACTTACAATGCACAGTAACCTCAGTTTTTGTAGTCAGCTCAGAAATTACATCCTTTTTAACACGACGCAGCATGAAAGGCTTTAGAATTGAATGCTGTTAGGAGAAGAGTATAAGTCAAATAGTTTCAAATAAGAAGAACTCTAATAAAATTAACAAAACCCAATCAATTATAATTAGAAGTTAGAAGCAATAATAAAAATAAGAGTTACCATATAACACTTCCTATTGTAATTTTAATCATCATACCCCAGTTTTAACTCATAAACATGTATATATATATATATACACACACACACACACACACATTGTGAATATAACAATTCCAAAGAATTTTAACATCCAATTAAAGGCAAGAACTCAATGAATGGCACCAACATTTTTCCCCTTTCATGAAGCAATTACCTCTCACTCCAGAACATGGGCTATTTAAATGCCCATAAAATTCCTAATTCAGGAAATCAAATATAATAACACATCCCAACCATCTTACTATGATTATCAATGGGACAGAAACTTACCAATCGATTCAGCTGGTGCTCATTTAAAGTACCCCCATGTTCTGCATGGTTCTCAATTCTGACATGGGCGGATCATAAACCACAGTAAGACAGTAGTTATATAGCTAACATGTTCAAGGACTTTAAGGTGGAATATATACCCTTTAGAAAACCACTCATTAAACTGTTCGTGGCTGTCAAATAAAGTTGGCATGATGAAATGCAGAAGAGCCCACAATTCAGCCATATTATTCTGAATGGGTGTACCAGTCAGCAGTAGACGATTCCGACAATTAAAGCTGAGGAGTGTCTTCCATCTTATACTGTCAATCACAAAAACAGATGTTAATATAACTTCAATAACCAGATGATTAATAAATACAAACAATATAAAACATATGGCCAGACCAATGACCTATTAATAATAAATGTCATTCACTAATGCACACTAGAAACAAGATTTCAGCAAACCTGGTTGAACTTTTAATTGCCTGAGCTTCATCTAAAACCATATATTGCCATTTCACGCGACGAAAATACTTCTCATCAGATACTAATAGCTGGTAGCTTGTAATGAGAATATGAAATTTAGCCTCCCTGGTAAATAAGCAAGGTATGGTTAAAATAGAAATAAAATGAATGAAAATTAAAGACCAAAAAGATAAATTACAAATTGAGCTGACTAGTGGTAGGTGAGGGCCAGAATATTGCATTAGATTAGCCTCATGATTCCAAAGGTTGAAAAACATGATGATTTTATGTAGATTAGTAGTGTATTCAAATTGACTGAATATATATATTCTACAACAAAAGAAAGGAGATTCCCCCATCTGCATTCACTTTTTAGTATCCTGAGAAACCAATTGTTTTCTTGAAATATTATCTTAAAATGGAGAAAATCATCATTTCATGCCAATCACAAAGTTCCACCATTTACAAAGAGATCCTAATTTTCAGGAACTTAATTTATTTTTTCAAAAATATACTGTAGTTATTACTGTAGTTTTCATCCACTTTTCAAATTTAAACAGTTAAAAATTGGCAAAACTATACTTTCTGTCCTTAAATTTGGGTTTCATTTTTGTCCCATGACTACATAAGAATACCCCTATCTGCATTTTACATTTTTTTTGCTTTATTTTTTTAATTTATACTAAAATAGGAATGTCACAATAATTAGATAACATTTACATTTTATACTAATTTGTATATATCCTACAATTTTTAAGAAGTCATATAGCTAGCATTGTATTGCATTTTATCTGTGCTCTGAGTCATATGTGCTTGACTTAAAATACTTCTCACTTCCCCAGCACAGAAAATCCACGGAAAGTTAATATTTTATTTAAAGGAAAAAGGGCAGCAAATTCCAGAATATACAAGGTTCTTCTCTTGAGCTTAAGTTTTCTTCCTTTATGGATCATACCAGCTGGTGGAAATATTTCTTTCTCAGGAATCTAGCTCACCCAGCTCACTGGGCAGGCAATCTATTCTCACCTTTGCCTTACTAAATCCATTATCATTACTCATAGGTTCACTCAATATTCTTACAGAAAGTCAAAAGTCACGCCAGTAAAATATAATCTTTCATTTACTTCATAAATCAATTTTCAAAGGAAATCCTGATTTAGACAATTTTTTCTACAACACATGAACAAGTATATAAGTACCAAGGGAAGTGAGACTACATTCTTGATAAGTTTGTATTTTGAAGTGTTTTTATATCTTATTTCCATACACTTGGTATTAGAGTTTACAACTCTGTTGTATTAAAACTTTGTATTAGTTTTTTCTGTTTTGTTTTTTTAGAGAAAGAAATAGGTATTTGACACTAATTTTGCTATCATTTATAGCAGGCTATCATTAGAAGATCAACAGCGAATTGAAGGAGTATTTTGGTCACAATTGGAGAAAATTTGATGGAAAGCAGAGTCATGCTCAAACATGAAGCACAGACTTACTTAACAATCAGTTTTGGGGTGCTTCGTGGTTAAGCACGGTCGTGCTTACAGGTATGCATGACTGTGCTTATTTGGTGATTCAAATTAAGAGAATTTTTTAAAGTTTTCGTAAATTTAAAGGGACTTAAGGTGCCTACGAGAAATAAATTTTGCCAAGCCGACTTTTGACAATTTTCGGAGCTAATTAAAAGTAGAAATCATTGGTAAAGACATAATGAGTAAGTGATCAAGAGCACTTTTAGAAAACAAGAATTCTTCTTATCTCTTTTCCTTTGAGATTTCTCTAAGTGTATTTCTATTTCGAATGTATATGGATTTCTTTACAATTACTTTATTTGTTTATTTTGTAATGAGTAGCTAAATTCATAGCTAGAACTACAATAGACCCTTTACACACTTTATGTGATCTTTCTGTTTAAATTACAATTGCAGTTTCCTTTGACGATTGATTTTTACCCTAGTGTTTGTATATTTTTATGTTGCGAATTAATAAATCTTAATATTTCATAATTAATTGCATTATAGGCAATCATATCACATGTAATTAATGGATCTACAAGATAAAATAAGATAAGAAATTAAATAGATCAAATTTAATTTTTCTCTTTCAATTGATTATTAAATTAATAAACTAATAAGCTCTTATTGTTTTTTCTTTCTTTTTGTCTTACATGACCATTGGAATAATAATTTACGGAAGAAAATGTTAATATTGTATGATCATTAGGTGTTAATAGTTTTAATGAGTGATTGACAATCATAAAAAAATAAGATATTTTGGTTAAACTAAAAGTGAACATAAACAAATGTAAAGATGAAACCAAAAGTCTTAAACTCATCTCAAATAGTTTTCTTGTTAGAAATTGTGCTATTTTGTTGATCATTTAATTAATCTCTTGTTTAATTCTTTCATACTTTTATTTTACTTCATTATGCACTATTTAAATTTAAACAATTAAATCACGATATTTTCTATAATTGAAAATAATCTCTATAGGACGATATTCTAAGAACTCAATTTGAAAACCCTCTTATTAACATTCGACATACCAAATTTCACATACCAAATTTATATGTATTTAAATATATTTCTTAGGTTTAGCAACATTTGGTTTTAAATGTCCATTTTACAAACATCTACCTTGTGTATAAGGTTATTACTACCACCAGACATGTGTTTTTCAAGGTTAAAAATGCATAAGAAATTAATTAATTAACATTACCTACGATATAGATCCTTTGGGTTTATACTTTTCCTAAGTACTGTCCGCTCTGAAAGCCCACCCCAATATGGAAGTCTTTTCAGTTCAGGGCAGAAGCGCTCAAGTTCCTCATTCCAATTATTTAATACAGAAGCAGGTGCAACAACAAGAAAAGGTCCCCATATATTTTTCTCCTGCAAGGGACAAACAAGTTACAATGAAATCACAAACATGTACCAAAACAGGTGTTTGAATATCTACCTCAGCTAAATGGGCTAAAAAAGCCATAGCCTGAATGGTCTTTCCAAGTCCCATCTCATCCGCTAGAATACCATTTAAACCCTGAAAATATTATTAAAAGCCTTCAAATTAACAGCCAAACAAAATAAATCACTAAGTGAAACTTTATTTAGGATTGCTCAACAACCTGCTCATAACAATTAACTAGCCATTGAAGACCTTTTAGCTGATATTCTTTAAGACAACCTTTAAATAATTCAGGTGTCCGAACAGTGGACGCCACTGGCATGGTTGAGCTGCAATACAACAATACATAAACTTAATTAGCATTAGCACGAATATAATATTGCTTAACTCACACTCCTCAGTCCTCAATACTATCTAGATGGATGTCAACAAATAATTTGCATATGTATATTTAAACATGTCTATGTAGCATAGATGTGCATTGACATGACAATAAATAGAGAGAGGAAGCTCACGGGGTTTGTAAATCAATGTTACTAGCTCCAGCAACTTCTGGTGGAAGTGAATCAGTTTCACCAGCTTGGCGCAGCCTCAAGCATTCAGTGTCAAAAGCACTTGTCAACTTTCTCTGCTTAGATACTGCTTCTTGAGCAGCCTTCAAAGCTTCCTTTTTCAATTCAACCTCTTCAGGATCTTCCTCCTCATTAGGCCCAGCATCTGAAGAGTCAATCAGTGCATCTTGATCATATGTATCTTCATCTACCTTGGGTAAAGCTTCTGAAGATATTAAGTTTGCCTTGTTCTGCATAAAGTGACTGTACAGCTCAGTCTGTTGTATAAGAAAATTAAGCCTTTGCTGTTGCCTCTTTGCTTCTCTAACTTCCTGTTCACGCCTCAAAGTTTCAGCAGCTTCTTTTTCCTCCCTTTTTCTCACTTCTGCCTGCAAGGAATGAAATTGAAAAATCACAGCATATTCAAGTCTAATGTTCGAGTGAAATGTAACAAGCATGACAATATTCACACCAAGATATAAATCCAAGTAGAGATTATCATATTTGCATGTCTACCAAATAGACCCCATTTTATGTCATGACCAAAAAGGTCTGATATCAAATAAAAAAATTCCAATTCTTCTTTTATGACACCTGAATTGAACAGCTTGGACCCCAAAATTAAATCCTAAAAAGGAGCACAAATTACCATCTGGATCAATCATTACCCACGACATTTAAAAACTACGACATCATTTTAATAACCTATTATCCATTAGATAAACATGCATAAATGAAATACATGCACAATTAAGAAAGTAGGTACAACCTATTATCAACAACCATTCATTAAACTCGTCTTCAAATGTAAAGGTGGAGCAAAAGAGAGAGTATGCAGCCATCATGTCCTACTAAAGTTCACCATAATCACAAAAAAAAGAAGACTTCTTGAAATACACTGTCTTCCAGAGTTCAATATCCAGTACCATAAAATAAAAAAATTCAGGAAGGAATTAAAAAGTACCATCTCCTTGTCTATTCGTTTCCAGAACAGCAACATGTCTCTAGCTAGTTTCCGGGTGCGCATACCAGCAGTTCTTGTCCATTTAAGGGATCTACTAACTTTCATTCTAACCTGAAAGAAAAAATAGATCCATGTAAGTTATTATAGACAAAATACCAGACCTACCATCAAAACCTTTAGACAAAACCACTAGATAGCTATACCACAAATTAATATGAATTATAACAGATATAGGACATATTAAAAGGAATGAAACAGGACATGCCTCTCTTTGACAAGTCTCTGAGACCCTCTTGGCATCAATCAGTTGCTTTCTATGAAAAGTAGTAAAGTTCCTATGATGCTTTGGTATGTCTCTTCTTACAATATTTACCCAAATCTTTACACATCTTTCCATTTCCTCCTTCTCTATCAAAGCAGGGTCTTTCTTCACCTTTTGCTTCTTAGGTAGGCTTCTTTCAATGATCTGAAGTAGTTGAAAGACAAAGATAAATAATTAAAAAAATAGAGGGAGACTGTAAGGATAACAGGAAAAAATATCAATTCATATTATTTGAAAGATACCTCATAGGTGTCACCTTTCTCCAAAACCTTCACATAATAAACCTGCAATACACCACCCTCAGATAGAATAGATCGCTTTATGCTTCCTGCTGCCCCCTCCGGAATGGAGGAATTCAAACCAATATCAGATACTTTCAGACCGAATTTATGAGCTGAATTAGAAGCTGACATGATCTTCAGCCGTGCCTGAAGTGATTCATACTGAGGTATTGCTTCCCCCATGCCTCCTCGGTTTCTGTTCCCAAACCTTTTATCAGCAGCCATCATTTCAGCCAAGGATCCCAAATCCAAGGTACCCTTTAAGTAAAAATCCTCAACATGGATATCTGAGAAGCTTGGGAGGTTCAGAGCTGAAGCCAACTTATCATAGATTGGAGGAATCTTGTAAGTGATACCATCCCCAATATCCACAGATGCAGGTTCATACATAATCCTGGAAGGAGTTTACAAAAGGTAAGGTCATTTCTAATGTAAACAATGATTCATTATTCACAAAGCCAAACACTATAAAAGGCAACAAAGCAGAAAAGGAAAACCTATCAGTGCCATGTTGCTGCATTGAATCTGCATCACGGTAGTTTCCTGGTCTCTGAGAATTGGAATCATTCATCCATTCCGATGTAGTTTCCGCAGCATGTAATCCTCCCCTACGCTCGTTCCCGGACTTGCGAGCTTTCAATCCCGCATTACCTTTCACAAGTGGAACAGCAGCCTGATTTTGGGCAGGACTGGTCGAGGTATCCCTAAACCTCCTCTTGTATTTCTGAATATGCTCTCCCAGCATCGACCGATATCTCTCTTCCGTCATATGTGTCCCGTAAAAACTACTCTTCTCCTCGTTGTCACTGTTTTGAGACCACCTCCTCTTCTTCAGCAAACTCACTTCCCTTCCACGCACATTCCCATTACTGTGATTTGCAATCACCCCACCTACTCATGGAAGTATCCCAAAGATACAGAGTACACTTACATAAGTTCAATCTCTTAAACCAACAATTATTTCACTAGCCAAACAGTAATGTTTAAAATCATGAAAAATCCAAGTAACTAAGAAGTAGTGCCTACCTTGGCTGTCTCTGCTCTCATCCTGACTACTATTCCCATAGTAATCAAAGTCATCATCTTGTTCTGGAAGCTGAAAGCTCATCAAAGACTACAAAACAGTGTAATCCGAAACATAAAAACAAATATCTTGAATTTTCAAGAAAAAATAAAAATAGCTAAAAATTCAACTCAAAACAATTCTTCAATTCCATCATAGTAAACCATGAAAGAAGACAACACACTGAATTCCACAGAGATATGAAACGGAACGGACCTCAAGATTGAAGAGGGTGGAGTAAGAGAGTGAGTCCTTGGGTTTGGACCTGTGATCCATGTGCTGCGACTAGGAAGGAACCCTAGTTCTGGGACGAAGCATGAAGAGAAGAAGAAGAACCCTAAGATGAGAAAGGGGAGCAGAGTGGTGCGTAGGATAAGGTGAGAAAAGAGAGCAGAAAGAAAAGAGAAGAAATGGAAGCACTGACGTGCGCTAACGTGCGCTGTACAGGTGACATTTCCGCTAACGTGCGCTACCCGGTATATTTCCATTTTGACGGTGGAATTTGCCGTGTATAGACGGCGGGAAGAAATAGAACAACAATGCAATTATTAGTTTGAGTGTAACTACAATTCCACTTCCTAAATTTTATTTTTCTTTTTAATTTTAAACAAATAAGTACATTTTTTTGTTATTTTTAAAAAATAAATTAAGCATTTATTTTCTCAGAAATAATCTCATTCAATACTCATTTTCATTCAACTAAATCTACCAATACCGACAACGTGGAACAATAGTTATATTTTTCCGTAAGTTATAAATATTATATTTAAATATAATTTATATGAGAACATATTAAATGAATTTTTATATAAAGTTATTAAATATTATAATCAATTTTCATAATCGAAACATAAAAATTATATAACATTTTTAAAATGTTACTTAACTTTATAAAATTAATCATGTAATTATTACTTACTGCTTCATTTTTCTGTTTTTTTTAATAGCTTTGCTTTTCCTCATTTACATTTGAATTTCTTGCATAAAAATAATTAATTAATTTATATAAATAATTAAATATTAATAATTATTGTATAGTCACTGTAAAATTATAATTTGAATTTTTTAATAATTTCTTTATAAATTAATTCACTTTTCCATAATTTTGCATAATAATGCATCAATTCAAGACACAAAATTTTTTCTAAAAAAAATTTTAGAAATAAAGAAAACGTTTTATTTGTAATGAGAAAAAATTATAGCATTGTTATAATATTTTTTTATCAATTTTGCAAAAAAATAATAATAAAGTAATGATTGAATCATTTAATACTATTTTTATTATTATGTATATTAAATTTATATAAATTAAAAAATATAATATTTTATTTAAAATTTAATTTTTATTTAAAATAATATGATTGAATATCTATTAATTTGTACACCTATAATTAATCTAATTACTCAGTATAAAGAGTTTTATGTAAGATTTTAAAATGAAAAATTATGTAATAAAACATAAAATTAAAATAATTAACCAGAATAACAATTGATAGCAAAAAAGAAAAAACTCTAAAATAAAATTATATATTGATATCTATCTCTATTCTTTTATTATTTGTGCCTAACATACTTAAAGTATGTATACTTTCACGACCCATTTTCTTAAAAAATTAATGACATTTAACACTAACATTTCTAATTCACTTATCCATTTATTAGATATTATATACACGAGTCCTTAACATTCACATCAACAAAATAATGAAGTTCCTGGGATATTTTCATATAATATCAAAATTTACATAAATTTATATATTTACAATAAATTGATTCAGCGAGGAATTCAAAATACAAGTGTTTGACATATAATTATATTCTTTGGCAAATTAATAACCCAATAGTCTAAACTTAATGCTCAAATTCTAGACTAACAAAATGATTAACATCGTGATATTCCAAATGTTAACTCCAATGTCTCTTAGTTAGACCTTTTAGCTTGAGCAGTAAATGCATTTCCTATAACTTTTGCTCACGTATCATTGTACGATCATTGCAGCATACATACCAACACAACAAGATGCAAAGGTGAGCTTATAAAATTTACAATCATAATATAGAATATAAATATGTAAAGTGTATTAAACAGCTAACATATTTTACAGCATTCAACATAACAGATTCAATGAATTGATGCAGCATGCTTAGCCCAATTTCAGCCCAACTAATGCAAATGCAATAATTTTATTCTATCTGACTTCACAACCTAAATAATCAAGAGGAACTGTTTTCCGGTCTGGGAGCAACTCATCCCGATATCTGAATCCAGACACAGTACAACTCAGCATCCTAATCAGCTCTAAAATGATTACGATGTAGCACGACGAAATTAACATATTACAGCACAACAAATTTTATTTTTTAGCTTTAGCAATACAATAAGATATATAATTTCATTTAACTTCAACAATTCAGCTATATATATATTTTCACAACAAAACTCAACATTTCAATACACAACACATAGTGAGACTAAACAACTTAAAATATTAATTAAATATTTCAACATATATTAGTACTTTCGGTTCATATATCACATTCCAGCATGTTATATACATCATAGCATTTTAGTACATTATATTTTATCACGACTTTTTAAACACTCATCAGATAACAGAGAAATATACTTGACTATACAAGCTTTGGGTCCTAGCCCAAGGTTAACTCATACAGCTCACTATTCTTAACTAGAATAATACGTTTTATATAAACATCTCGGTCTTTACTAAATAAACTAGATAAAATCAGGTAAGTTCCCCTTACCTGGAATGAGTTTTCTTCAAATCAACTCCTTGTAAGTCCCAAAGGGATAGATCAAGCGTTTGGGTATGAAATACGGTTCAAACGGCTCAAATCTAGATCTTGATGAGATAGAAAATCTCACTTTGATCAGAAAGAAATTCGGCTTTGAGAATATTTTCTCTAAGGAGAAGAAGTGAGAGAATAGAGAGAAAATGAGAGAGAAAGGAGTGTCTAGTGAGAAAAATGAAGTTTTTAGATGCTGAGACTCCTTAAATACCCTTTCAGCCCGCGCGCTCTCGCTGAAGCGAGCTAATTCTCACTTGAGCGAAATATGCCCTTGCCCCGGGCAAGAAAAACAGAAAGTGAAACATCTTAGATTCCTGATATTCTCGCTTGAGCGAGCTATATCTCACCTAGGCGAACAACATTCTTGCTTTGGCGGGATTGTGTCCAGAGAGTTACATATTACTCCTGCGACTCCTTGCTTAAGCGAGGTCACCTCTCGCCTGAGCAAGATTCCTTTTCGCTTGGACAAAGTTACAACTGAGGTAATCATATGTGCTTTCACTTGAGCGAGATTGATCTCACTTGAGCGAAATACCCTTCACCCAGACTTCAAATTTCTCTTTTGAGTTAAATACTACCAACTCTTCACTATACTTTCTAAATTATCCAGACACTCAGTACACTTAATAATCATTCTCCAGCTCACACTGCACTTTACATTTAACAATATCATTACACAATACACCAACTGCCCTATTCCTCATTCGGCAATTACACAACCTTTATATTCCATATTCCAACATAAAAACAATTCACATAATTCAAGTTTACACAACCCTAATCAAGAGGCATAATAATAAATACATATGATTACACCAATTTTACATATACTATACAATTTTTTTAATTACATAAAACATTTTTTTAAACATTTTGTAAATGTCATAAGGTTTATTCTTAATGAATGTGTTTTTAATAATAAAATAATTTTATAATTTTAAAAACGTTTTGGAGCCATCATTGTAGATTAGTGAATTTTTAGTTAATTTTATTTATAATCAAATATCTGACTTAAAAAAATAAACGAAGAAGTTGGACAAAGTTAATTGTTATTTAAAAAAATAAAAGATCATCCATGTACACTTTGAGGATCTTCAACTCAAATTATATGTTTGATACTGTATAGGTCAATAATTTTCAAACACTAATTTAAATTGTCACAATTTAATTGAGTATTCACTCTTAATCTCATTTCCAAGTAGTCAAATAAGTAATTGATAAATTATAGTATAATATAGAGAGAGAAAGTATCTACTAATATAAAATATCTCACTATCAAAACAATTAAGCAGATACAAATATCATAATAAAGATAATCATCATATGCCATATGCTTGATCGTGCTAACATCTAGATCTACCCTTATTTGTCCATACAAATAGCTCTTCTTGTTGTTCTCTTCTTTATTTGCCAACTGTAGAAGCATTTCAACTCCCTTCACATCGTGTACAAATGTTTAAGCATGCTTTTGTTTCATCTACGGAGTATATGACCAAACTTGTCTTCCATTAAGTTCCTGTGTTGGTCTTGCATTTTCCTTAAATCCCTGTGCAACAGTTGTAATTAAGATGAGGATAGTATTTGGATGCTTAAGGTGATTTTATGAACCTTTTAGCAATATTCAATTTGATCAAAAAGTTTTAAAAGATAAAATCATACTTATTTAAGTTAAAATATATATTTAATTTTTAAAATTTATACCATAAATTAGTCCTTTTAACATAAAATACTCGATTTTAGTCTTTGTATAAATATTTTAACATAAGACTTGTTCGTTGTAATATTATTAGTAAAAATTAATATTTTTTTAGGCTTTTTTAACGAAATTATAATGGAAAGAATTAAAATATAATAAATATTAATGTAAAGATTAAAATGTTTTTTTAAATACAGATATTAATTTGTAAATGAATATTAATTATTGATAACAAATTTATATTTTAACTGAAAAGTAATTTTCAATTTTTGTAGGCTACTTTTTTTACAGATACAGTGGGTACTGATATTTACTTACGTGATGAACAGCTCCTTTCAAGGCATCTAACTGCTCTGTTGAGACTGTCCTCACCTGTAATAGACAAGCTATGTGAGTTTTTCTTTAAAAAAAAGGTGTCTAGTACAAATCAGCCTATGCTAGTTAAGAAAATCATGTGAAAGTACAGAACCTCCTTCATTACTGTCCAAATAACACCTTCAGTGCATGGTGGAGTTGTCAGGGAACCAACATATCTGTAATACATTTTGCTGATGAAACTGATGTCACTTGGGTTGATTACTCCTAAATCTATCTCTTTGTCGCCAATTGATTTTATGTTGTTGATCAGCTGCCAAATTGAATAAAGTTTAAACAAACCAAAAAATGAAAAAAGTGAATGAATCACTCAATCACAATACACAATCATTACCAGCACCAAATTAGATTCTTATATCTTTTTTCTTTTTTATAACTTAACTGTACTCAACACCCACTCACTTATCTAAGTTCAAGGTTTCAGCCATGAACAAACTTTAAGGGGTAATTTTATTTTTAAATTTTGATCTATAGGCTGCCTCTAGAGATTACAGGATCACTAAAGGGACAAAGTTATATTCAATTTATAGGGAGAGAACTATACTTTTTTTTTTGGGGTCAATAAGAACTATATGTACTTAAAATTTACATATTTCACACTTTCATTTTAACTGGATGGCACATGTCTCTATACTCTACAAGTGATGCATAGATAAACTCCCAGAAGCAAATAGATGTCAAGAAACATATCAAACCTTTGAAAGAAAGGGATCTGGACCGCCAATTTTATACCATATTCCAATAACAGCAATTTCTCCTTTAGTGTTTTGATGGACTACATGTATTTCCATGTCAAACCTAGAAAACAAGCACAAGACATCTATATTTATATGGAATTTCCGTACCATTGTGTCAAGCAGAAAATAATGTGGCAAACTCACTTAATTCCATTCAACTTGTGCTCTGAAGGTGTATGCCAATGGCATTGTATCAGTTTGTAGTAAGTTCCATTTATCTCAAGCTGGCCTGCATCCCCATTCCATTGCACCTGTCAAAACAGTAAGCACAAATATTAGGTTCATTGGACAAATGTATCACGTACGTGGAAGGATTGACCCATTGATAAAAAATATTGGGATGTGACTAACAAAATTTTGTCCTTCTTGATGATCATTAGCGTAATTTTATTAACTGCTAGTGTATTGAAGTTGCAATAAGATGTAACAAGTGAAGGATTCATGAAAATAACACGTTCATGAACAATTAGTGGCTTACCATGATGTCATGACCCCTATTCTTTAGAATAGAAGGAGCTGGTTTGTGATCTAATTTAAGTTCACCCAATTGAGGAAGCTCTACCACGCTTTTGTCTATGATTTCAATGGGAGATTGAAGTTTTCCATTCCCACATGCTTTCCATTGTGGGTTCAGACGCCACCAATTCGCTGGCCCGTTCTTAGTTCCTTCAGCGTAGGTATATTCTTCATCTTTTGTTCATAAAAGGGAGAATCTAAGGTCAAACTCAATTAAGAAAAATGTGGCATTAATTATATATTCCAATTGATATTATATGTATAACCATGGAATTTTTGGACCACTAGAAATAACAGTTAAATACGCCTTAAATTATCCGCAAAAAGACAAAGAAAAATAATCATAAAACATTAAAATTTATATTATTTATGGTCGTGTTTAAAAAAACGAACAAGTACTTGATTCATTAAAACTAATAAAAAGTAATTATATATATATATATATATATATATATATATATATATATCATAAATTTGTATTCTATTTAAGAAATACTTACGATGTTAAATAATTAAATTAGTGTGTTTATATATTAAAAAAATATATTCACTTTTATAAATAAAGTATAGATATCTTGTAAACATGAATTTTATAATAAATAAAAATATAAAAAAGTTTAAAAAATAATGAATATAAAAAAGAGTATTTGTTTTTTTATATTTGAAAAAATACAAGGAATTTATTATTATCAATTAATATTCATAAACATAAAAGAAATGTAAAGCATTTTCTTTGGATGTTTCCATTATTCTAATTCATATTCAAGAAGGAAAGGGTAAAAATAAACCACAGAAGTCGAACAATCAATATAAGGAGAAACAAATAGTTTTGTATCGTATAATTAAATTCATGCATATCTGCAAGTACTGCAGAGTTCATGCTGGTTGATCATCCAGCAAACAGTATTGCAGTTGGCATTAGTCACACATACGGATATCTTTCTCATGTAATTATTTGTCAATAAAATCAAAGTAACAAGAGTCAAACCAATATCTTCAATTCACAACATAGAACAATTTTAATTTAGGTGATTCATCAACCAAAGTTTCTATCTAAATACACAGAGGTAATGCACTAACTACACTAGTTAAATTGAAAGAAGGAAAACCGTACCAAACTTCATTTAGTAGACAAAATTTTATTGAAAAAACAATGATCAAGATTTGAACATAACTGCTTTCAAAATGAGAATATAATAAATACACCCACAAGCGCGAGCACGTATTTGTGAGGAGCATCAAGACATTACTAATATCCTTAGTTCCCTCTATTGAACATAACATGACTATGAGTTATGACAACAATCACACCGTTTAATCCAATTTCTCTAGCATGAATGAAAAAAAAGAGAAAGATAAATTAAGGGTTCTTCAATACATGGTTTTTCATACCAGCTGTTGCAATGAAGATAGAGAAATAGAGAATGAGCACTGGGAGAAGCAAAGAGAGCAAGTTGGGTTTGGTGGGGAGGGTCATGATGCTATCTATATATGTACTTAGAGAATAGGGATTGAAATTTGAAAGCAATAATAATAATGAACATCTATTGCATATGCATATGTGTATATATATATATATATATATATATATATATCTAGTGGCTCTTGTCTGCTTGGTGCTTTGGAAGATCTATAGGAACATGACCACAACCTATAAGCTCGCTCTATTAAATTTTCACGTACAGTTTATTATGATAAGAGCAATATTATAGTCTCCAAAAGCCAATGTTATTATAATTTGGTGGTTCGGTTACGTTGATTGGTTGTTGGTTATGGTATGGTATCTTATGTTATGGCAGAAAAATAATAGTCTCTGTGTCGAAAAGGAAAAGGTGTTTGGAAAAGAAATAGAATCGGTCGATTAATTTACCCTGAAAAAGAAAAACTGCCAATTGATGTTGAACATTCATGACATAACCATTTAGTGTCTAGTTAACTAGTGTTCTTTAAGGAATAAAAAACAAGTTTTTATTAGATAATGTTTTTTTAGTGCATGTTTAAAGGCATACACAGTAAAAACTTTATATATATATATATAATAATTTTTTTATTAAAAATATAAGATTCAATGTATTAGTATATTAAATGTTATTTTATGAAGTATACTATTTAATAATTCTGTATTGCGTATCTAAAGACAAGTATTACAAAATGATAATATTTATTAGATACACAGATGTGTACATTAACAGCTTTTTTAATGAAAGCTTTCTTCCTTTTATTCTTTAATTAATCTCATTAGGATATGATTAATATGTTTTTTATTTGTTTATTATACATAACAAAAAATATATAATATATACACAAATTATTAAAGTTTTAATATATATTTCTGTTGATTATATAATTAATTTTGGATTTGATCTTTATAGGCATATGAATGGACAGATTTACGTTAGGCTTTACAAGACAAAATTTAAAGTATATTTTGATCTTTCCAAGAGTCTGATTGGACAAAAAATTAATCAAAAATTTATTTTATGATAAAACCTTTTAGGTTGGTAAAAAAAAGTATTTTTAAATAAATTAAGAAGTAAGTTTATAATGGGTGGCAATTTTAAGGTATGATCTTGGCCCGTTTAATTATTGTTTTTGTCAATTTAAATATTTGAATAAACAAACAAATTAAGTTTCTATTTCAAATATTACATTAAAAAAATTAAAAAGGCTTGTCTATTATATATAAAATATTATTTAGATAACCTAAATTTTTTTATTTAAATTAAATACACTTTCAAAAAAAAAAAAAGAGTTGACTTGGCACAAAATTTAAATACACTGTCTTAAATGCTTTTAATGTCATTTTTAAAAAAATTGTATCATGATTAGTTACAAAATAAAGGTTGACATTAAAAGTTAATATTAAAATTTTAATTGAAGTACCTTAATAAATTTTTGTCCATTGTTTTAATTTATTTTTATCTCTATATATTTTGAAAGTTTAAATTTTAGTATAAATACACTTTATTTAAACATTAAGCTTAGTTTATATTTTTTTATTTCATCTCATTAATTACTATTTATAATAGGATACTTATACATTATTTTTAATTTAAACAATATATGCAAGATTTAATTTTACAATTTTCTTTGACTTGTTTAAACTTTTGAGTAATATTTTATGAATAATTTCTGTTGATTATATCTTTTTCTTTTCTCTCTGTCTCTCTCTTTTTATCTCTATTTTCTCAACACATCTCATACCCTTGATAATGCGAAAAGATCACAACTCTTAAAAAAAATTAGATATAGATATTATTCCATTATGTTTGAATTGTGTCAATTGACTTGAACATAAAACAGTAGATAAATATACAAATTTCATTATAATAGAGGAGTTAATATTATCATTAATGCAAATCCTATATTAAAATTGTTGAGGTGACCAAGAAAAATCCCTTTGAAAAAACCAAGAGATGTTAAAGCAAAATTTTAATTAAGAGTGGGAGATGTGGCATTGTGACAACCATCAATCCATGGTAGAGGTAGAGTATTTCACAAATAAAATATTTAATTCCTTATTTAGAAGATAAAATACAGTTATTATTAATTATTCAAAATTCAGTGATTAAAATTTTATGATGAGTTTACATTCATATTATGCATTTTATCGTAATTTTATTTACACCTTTTGCATAAACGCTTATAATTAAACCTTATTGCAATCCTTGTATGAATTCATCTTGCATAAGTATTGTGTAATTATCTATCTATTCATATAAAATATCTTACTATCAAAACAAGCAGATACAAAATATTTTAACAAAGATAATCACCATATTCAAGGTGCTTGATCGTACTCTAAATCTGATATAGACTTAATTTGTGCATGCAAACAGCTCTTCATGCTCTCTTCTTTATTGCTAATTGTAGAAGCAGTTCAACTCCCTTCACGTTGGATACAAATACTTAAGTATGCTTTTGATTCTCCTCCGGAGTATATAACGAAACTCGTCTTCCATTAAGTTCCTGTGTTGGTCTTGCGTTTTCCTCAAATCCCTATACAACATTGAAATTAAGATAAGGCTAGCAGTTGTACTTGTATGCTTACTTAGGGTGATTTTAAGAACCTTGTTAGCAATTAATTTGATCACAATAAGTTTTAAAAAGACATTCACGCTTCTTGAGGAAATAAAAAACTACTAGAGAAACATTTAAAATGAAGGAAATTTAATTATTCTATCCAAATAAATTTTTTAAAAATAATAAAAATTTAAATTTCTTAAAAATTTTAATTACCTCATCTAAGGACCATCTTAGTCCATATAATTAATATTCATTCATGAATTTTTTTATATAAAAAAATTATTTTTTGATCTTTGTTTAGTTTCAAATATTGTAACATCATTAATAAAGTTATTGTTAATTTTTAGTATTTTTTAATGATATTATAATGATTATATATATATATATTTATTTAAATACAAAAATTAGTTTACAAAATTATAGAGATTAAATGTGCATTTTAGTTGATAAATAATTTTTAATTTTATTTTTACTTTTTCTTTAGGCTACTTTGTTTGACAAATCTCGTGGGTGTTCAATGTTTATATTTACTTACATTCTCAACAACTCCTTTCAAGATATTCAACTGCATTCTCGAGACAGTCCTTACCTGTAATAAACATGCTATGTGAGTACCAGAAAAAGGGTGTCTATTACAAATCAGTCAATGTTAGTTAAGAAAATCATGCGAAAGATAGGAACCTTCTTCGTTATTGTCCAAATAACACCTTCGGTGCATGGTGGAGTTGTCAGAGAACCAACATATCTGTAATACTTTTTGCTCATAAAGTTGATATCTTTTGGGTTGATTACTCCTAAATCTACGTCTTTGTCGCCAATTGATTTTATGTCGTCGAGTAGCTGCCACAATGAAGTAAGTTTAAACACACAACAAAAAGAATGAATCACTCAGTCACAAATACACAATAATTACCAGCACCAAATTAGATTCTTACAGTTTTTTTCATTTCTGCTTTATGACTTCTTTATAACCCAACTATAATGTCAATAGTTTATCACATTTATCGTCCGTCAAATGGAAATTTATCTAGGAACACCAAGAAACATGATTCTTCATTTGCATGCATTGAAACCCACAATGCATGCAAACAAAAAAACAAACACTCACTCACTATAATGAAGTTCAAAGTTTCAGCAATGAACAAAATCTAGTGGGCCATTTAATTTTTAGCTGTAGGCGACCTCTAAAATTTGAGATCTACACAAGATCACTAAGGAGCAAAGTTAATTATCTTGCAATTTATAGAGAGAACTATATGTACTTAAATTTATATATTTGCACACTTTCGTTTTAATGGAGAGCAATGTATAAACTTGCAAGTTATGCATAAATAAATTCCCAGAAGCAAATAGATGTCAACAAAATATAGCAAACCTTTGAAAGAAAGGGATCTGGACCGCCAATTTTGTACCATATTCCAATAACAGCAGTCTCTCCTTTAGAGTTTTGATGAACTACATGTAGTTCCAAGTCAAACCTAGAAAAGAAACACAAGGCATGTATTTTCACTTGAAATATATCCGGATCCCTACGATTGCATCAAGCAGCAAAATAATATGGCAAACTCACTTAATTCCATTCAACTTGTGCTCTGAAGGTGTATGCCAATGACATTGTATCAGTTTATAGTAAGTTCCATTTATCTCAAGTTGGCCTGCATCTCCATTCCATTGCAGCTGTCCAGACATTAAGAACAAATATTAGGTTCGTTGAGAAAATGTGTCTTGTGGAAGTATTGACCCATAAAATATTGGGTGTGACTAGCAAAATTTTGTCCTTCTTGATGATTAGTTTAAAGATTGCTAGTATATTGATGTTGAAATACGATGCAACAATGGAAGGATTTATGAAAGAATTAAGCTTAACTTAAGCTCATACGAAGTGGGTTGTCCAAATCTTATAGTGTTTTGGACATATTTCTAATAGATGTTAAACATTTTAATAGGATTTCTGAAAATAACATGTTCATGATGAACCATTATTAGTAGAATACAATGATGGTGGCTAGCGAGTGGCTTACCATGATGTCATGACCCCTATTCTTTAGGATTGAAGGAGCTGGTTTGTGATCTAATTTAAGTTCACCCAATTGAGGAAGCTCTACCACGCTTTTGTCTATGATTTCAATGGGAGATTGAAGTTTTCCATCCCCACATGCTTTCCATTTTGGGTTCAGACGCCACCAATTCTCTGGCCCGTTGTCAGTTCCTTCAGCGTAGGTATATTCTTCATCTTTTGTTCACAAAAGGGAGAAGCTAAGGTCAAATTCAATTTAGAAAAATGTGGCATTAATTATTCCATAACCATGAATTTTTTGGACCACTAGAAATAGAAATAACAGTTTGATAAGCCTTAAATGTTCCACGAAAAGACAAAGGGAAAGTGGGGAAACATTAAAAGATGACATATAGCTTTACAAATATGCGAAGAGACTGTTGATTTATAATGTGAGCTCATAGAAGAAAAAAGTGAATGGGGTCTAATCATCTCATGATTCCTAAAGAAGGTTGTGAATTAGTATCAGAGGAATCTATTTATTATAAATTAATATTCATGTAAATATTCATTGATAAAAAAAAAGAAAAAAACAAGTTTCAAATCAATACCTACAATCACATGATAACATGATAAGAACAATACTATCTTCAGTAATCATATAAAATGCTTCTACAAATTTTTTTGTTAATTGTCGAAGGTCTAATACAATATTATCTTTTTACCTGAATTTGAGAGCGGCTATGAGATTATAGACAAGATTTTTCATTCACAAGATAAAACAATTTAATTAGTGTAATTCGTCAAAATATTTCCATGTGAATACAGAGGTAATGCACTTTTAAAACTAATTAAATTGGAAAGAAGGAAAATTAAGCTTTATTTACTAGATAAAATTTTATTGAGAAAATAATGATTAAGATAACGCATATAATTACTTCATAATGAAAATAAAATAAACACACTGCACACACATGGACGTGCGTACACAGAAATATAACAAAACACAATATTTGTGAGCAAATATCCTTAGTTCCCTCTACTGATAATATATGAATTATGAAAACAATGACTCACCATTTAATTCTGAATTTCTATAACATGAATGGAAAAAAAGAGAGACAGAATCTAGGGTTGTTCAATAAATATGGTTTCATACCAGCTTTAGATTCAGAAGCTGTTGCAAGGAATGAGGAGAAATAGAGAATAAGCACTAGGAGGAGCAAAGAGAACAAGTTGGTGGGGAGGGTCATGGTGTTGTCTATGGGTCAATGGGGATTAAAATTTGAAAGCAATAACAATGATGAACATCTATTGCATATGGATGTGTGTAGATTTATACATAGTGGCTCTTGTCTGGTTGGTGTTTTGGATTTTATCGGAACGTGATCACAATTCACAACCTATAAACTCGCCCTATTTGAAGGACGTGGTTCATACTTGCCATCCAATGTAGCAGCTTTCTCGTACAAGTTTTCATGATATGAGCAATGCAGTCCAAAAGCCGATGTTATTAATTTACTACGTTGGTTACGTTGCTTGATATCTCGGTTATGGTTTCGTACCTTTGATATGTTATGGCAGAAATAGAACCGATTACTTTACCCTGAAAATAAAAACTGTCAATTAATGTTCAACATTAATGGATTTCATGCTCAAAATAGATTAAAACTTAGGATCTTATAATTAGTTTCTTAAAATCATTAATTAAAAAATTAATAAATAATAAATTTGTATTAAAAATTATATTAAAATGCATTGAAAATTATGGAAGTAAATATATTTTAACGTTTTTAATAAAATTTTATTTTTTATTTCTTAACTAGTGCCTAAAGGACACTTGGTTAGTATTTTTCAAAAACTTGTTATTTGTTTAGTGTGTTGTAAAGAATAAAAAAAATTATTAAATAGTTTTTTAATGTGTTCAAAAATATATAATATAAACTTATATATAATAATTTTTTATTAAAAATATAAAATTAATGTATGTATTATATTAAATGTTAATTTTTTATTATTATTATTTTTTATTATATGATTAATGACACGCTAAAAAAACTGTTTATTAAAATTTACTTTGAGAATAAATTAAAGATACTAGTATGTGTACACTAATATCATTTTTAATAATAATAAAAAAAAAGAGTATTTATTTTCCTTCCTTAACCAATGTGATTAGGAGATATATTATTGAAGTTTAATATAGTTTGGTTGTTTATAGTTTAATTAATTTTTTTCATAGACATAAAATAGAAAGAGAGAGGAAAGATATTAGAAAATAAAGGAAGATAAAATCTCAAGATTGTCTACCTTAAAAATCGTCCAACGTTCATAAAATAAAAAACAAGTTTAAAATTTTAGCAAGAAAAGCACCGTACGTGGCCGCGACAACCACTTCTTTAAATGCTATTGAGTCTTCGTAGTAGCAGCGCTGTGTCTTTCTGGTTGCTTTTGACTACCATGGTAAGAACTAAATTGAAAAGGTGTGACTAAAATTATAATTTAACGGCATCTTTATAAAGATCCATCATTGAATTTTTGACATGTTTACGTCAACTTTGACTTTGATAAGGGTCAAGAAAGTAAAAGATGAGAGAGGTACATAGGGTAAGGATAGTTAGTTGTCAAAAGTTATCCACTAACACAGGGATGAAAATGTTGGGCAGCAGTGGTGTAAAAGTTAGGCTGAAATTAGGAGGATAAAATAAAAAGAATGTGATGTGGTATCACTCTCAGTTGAAGGGTCATGCGCCCAATATGGAGTCAGGACCAAATTGTAACAATGTTAACGTACTTGAGGTTGAGGATAAAAGGGTGCTAGGCACTCCAATGCCCAAGTTAATATGAGCACCAGTAGAGAGTTACAATATAATTATATGTCATTACACATTAAATTGTGTACTCTGTAATAACATAATTATAGAGTTCTGATACAAGTTATATACTAACTTAACATTGTAATTATCATGCATATGACAATCTAGCATGACTTAACTACGGAAGATTTTGGATCAGTGGGTGAAAAGTATGGTTCTTTGCTCAGGCACTGATTTCCTTATATACGTGTATAATAAGTGTTAGGGGTATAATTAAACATTTAAGACTTTGTTTAGGAGTTTGGAGAGAAAAAGAAAGAGTTTGAAAGATTAAAGAAGAGAAAAGAAAGGGAAAAAAAGGAAAATTAATGCAAAATTTTATAAATTAGAAGAACTTAAAAATATAAAATTGAGTTTTTGAAGATTTATAAATTTTTTCTCTTTCATCTAAAGTCTTAATTAAGGATAATCATTACATAACTCTTCATCTTTTCTTTAAAAATCACTTCACAAACAAAAACTAAGTGAGTCTAGATTTTATGTTGAATCTAATTGAACATTAGCTCACTAATAGTCCTAGATAAATAGAATAGAATGAGATGGATAATCATCTAGGTTTTTCTTGCTTAAACTAAAATTCGTTCATGTTTGATTATTAGTTTTTTTAGAAATAATTGTTTGAAGAAAAAACTTCATATGCTTAATTAAAAAATAAATTCTTCAAAATAAATTAATCCAAATACATTCAAAACTTAATACATATAAACTAGCTACTAGCAACTTTTGGATTGTATATCATGCTTATCATTTGCAAAAATGCGCAAGTAATTCTCAATAATCACTTCCTTGGTAAACGAGTTGAAGATAGCAACTTTTCTGCTGTAGGGATGATTGCATCATAATACATGACTATTTATTTTTGCGACATGCAGTGAGAAAACACCAACTCTTTATCATGGGGTATGCACATGTGGACTTAGTTATATAACTAGGCAATGTAATGCAGTTGGGGCCACAATTTTATCGCCACAAAAAGCACAACTATACTTCAGTGCCACTGATCTTTAACACAATTCGTCAAACTAATGTCATAACAAAATGTAAATGTGTGTGTGTGTGTTTTCTTTTTTAGGCCAAGCTTTTTTTTTTCTATTACTTAATTGTAATGATGGTTTCAGTTTTGAATGTTACGTTTCTCTGTCCACTTCCTTCTTTTACTTATAGTTTTTCTCAGGCCTACTAGAAGGGATGCAAAGAAGGTACATGCACAAGCTGCTAGTTACTCACAAGATTTTGACAGAAGATCTTGGTGTATTGTTTCTCACAATCGCATGATAAATGTTCCCGTTTCACCCGAAGGTCCTTTTTATAGTTATTATGAATTAAAATTATTTTTCCTTCTAAAAATAGGATTGCAGGTACAAGTTAATGATGAATGGATTCAAGGGAGGGAAATTCAAATATACTTACAGTATAACTAAAAATAGACAAGATTCGTTTAAAGAAAAAAAAAATGACTTTTGGCTTGATATAAAATTTTTCTTGCTTTTTTTCTTCATTTGAAGGTTCAGTATACTTAAATTCATGGCATGTTTGATTTTCTGAAAAAAAAATTTAATAAGCCTAATTTCAACTTTAAAAAACCACCAAAATTTTTTAAGAAACTATACCTAAAATTTGTCCTTTAATAACACTCCTTTAGGCTGCACGATTGCACTCTTCGAGTGCAAGGAGGTAAATCTGTACAAAAGATACTTAATGGCTCAATCGTTTAATCGTAATACACACTGGAACTGATATACATTACACTCTCCATCCTTATCCAGCCAGAGATACATACCCTACCAATAGATATAAAGAATCAATATCAATAAATATTTCACAGTATTCTTTAAATAACCTGTTCACTTGTGAAATCCAAGAGAACAAAAATGTCGAGGTTAGACACGCTACACTCAAGTAATTTTGGTCGATTAAAACAGAAAAGACACGTGTATTTTCTGTATTTATCACGCGCTTTCTTTTTCTTCTCTTTGACTGAACCACTCCCTATTAAGAAGCTAAAACAACATGATAACTTAACAGCATCTATGACACATGCGAGACAACTGCATTGGCTCCTTCATCTATGTATGCCGGATTTCATGTATAAACAATCCCTTGCCCGTTATCATCGGATAAAGGCAGGCAAGTAAAGCATAATGCCTTGTTAACATTTAAGTTGGTGAAGCTCATACATCGCTGTTAATGGGGCCTGGTCTTGCCTAATTTCCCCAGCCTGTAGTTCTTTGCTACTTCAAGGTTAAACACCACTATGGCTCATGCTTGCAATATCTACGTACAATCTTATTTCAGTGAAGACCTGGTTCAGATCGTAAATATAAAACAGTAATGGCCTGAGTCAGACCAGAAGAAAATAAAATCAGTAGAAGGCCAGAGTCACTTTCAACTAGACCAAGTCATAATTACCTGCAAAAGCAGTTTAAAGCCTTTGTTTTCATTCCATCATGAAACTTGGGTCCATCAAGAATGAGAAGGAATGTCACTTTCAATCAAACCAGGCATAGGAACCTTGACGCCTGTGTATGAGTATCCTCTTACTCTTACCATCGCGAATATGAATGTCCATATGTCTTCCAATGATCCCGGCCATACCGTCTGTTTGAAGATCTGTCAGAGGGAGATTTACAACCATCAGATGGTCTTCCATACCCATACACATCTGAAGATCTCCTGCATGTGCCACCTCTATTACTTTGCTTAGAAGCTTTCCTTATCTCCTCTTCCAAATCATACTCTGAGCGCTAAAATCAATCAAAGAGAAGCTTATCAGTTTTTTATATTAATTACAAAAATAAATCCTTAATGAAAATTACAGGACTGAAATCTTTTAAAACTTTTAAGTTTGAACAACTTCCAACACAACCAAAGCAGGGAGAGAAATATATTATCCCAATAGATAGAGCCAGTGGGCATGTCCAACAGAAAACATTAAGGTGTTCTAATCCCTTTTTCACTACAATTTCTAACCCATTTAAAGGTACCTAGTCCAATAACAGCTGAAAAAAGGGCTTTCTCAAGACGCAATAATGATTAAACTATATGAAATTATGAAGCACCAAGAAAAAGAGGAAGAGGGGAATGGAAGACAGGAGGAGTGGAAATGGGGTGGAATGCTCCTTCATTTAATAATGGTGAGAAAAAATTGTTAAGGCATGTTTGCAGTATAATGCTGCTCACGTGATAGTACATACCAAGTAAACTTTTCCTCTGAAACATACATGTTTCCCTTGAACAGAAATAAGCACTACACAGACACATGAGCACAATAAATGCTTCTCCTAAAAATAAATCAAAACCAAACTGTGTGTATGACATTCAACAACAGCAACACATACATATTATTGACAATGAAATTGTTAATGCTAATAACGAGAATGAAAAACTTATTCAATTGAAGGTTAAGATAGTAGGTATTATAATTCACTCTTAAAACATTATCATGCCTTGAAATGATTTTAACTTTTGGTAGAAGTTTGAATCATTTTATCTCCCTATTTATTCTCATATAAGTACTTCTTGAAAAGGTTACCCAAACTAGCCCTAGGTGTTTTTAAGACAGGAGTGAGCTGGAGCATTTTGGGAGAGCATGTTAGTGCTACAAAGATAGTACTGTAAGCCATTCAATATTATTGGCCAACTATTCATCCATTTCATATTCACAGACTATTAATAATGCATTAAGAATCATTAAATAGCAAAAAAGTGTGTATAACCTTGGCAGGGTCTGAAAGCACAGCATATGCCTCTCCAATCATTTTAAAAAGCCTATCCGCATCCTTGTACACCTCCTGTGAAATTTCCTTCCAGACTTGGCCTTCATCTCCAACTTCACTTCTTGCCAACAACTGACCAGCCTAGATCCCAACCAAAAATATAGATAAAATAAAGTTTCCTAAGTACACTAGTTTTGAAAACTAATAATGTGGACCATGCCTTTATACCCAAAAACAAGTGAAAAAAAGAAGATAAATATAATGCAAGCACAAAATGACTCAAACCTTGTCTGGATGATGTCTAAGAGCTGCCTTGTGGTATTGCTTCTTGATATCCATTGCTGTATCAGCTGGTTTGATTCCTCTGGTGTTGACATTGTAAAGAACATAATTTAGTTTTGGACACTTCAACTTAGCAACAATCACTAACAGAAAACTGAGGATTCAATGTAAGATTTAACATTGATACATGTAATGGTATTCTGACAATATAGATAGGATTGGGGATCTATTTTCAATTGACTACAACAAAAGCAAAATCTTATCCTGATACATCATGTCAGCTACATAAATGACATGACACCATTAAGCTTAGCTAAAAACTAAACGTTAGTGTTAAAAAATTTGAGTCTAACTCATTCTCAAAAACTAGCTCATAAGAGGAGGACTATCTTATTCCTTATAAGGAGTATTCTGTTTATATTCCTAACCAATGTAGAACATATTAACACACCCTCCTCACGCCTAGTATTGGAAATATAGTGTGTGAAATTTGCAAGATTGGACATCTAGACAGGTGACTCAACAAGATTGGACATTTGTGAGCAACCCAACATTCAAAGTGCCCCCATTATGTTTTTCTTTCACACTATTGTAAATTCAACAACATAGTTGTCGATATCAGTGGTTAAGGTAAAATATTACAATACCTACATATTTTTCCTGAGCTATATATCATTCAGTTTCTATAATAATAGCATCAATGTCAAAGGAGGGTTCACTCCATTGGTAGGATTGAACTGTGTCAATACAAAAGGTCTTCGGTTTGTTTTATGCTACTGGTCCTTTATTGATGGGTGTCCATAAGTACCACAGTAAAGCTTTATTGAGGCTTGCAGAATGCCTTGACATAGGAATGGAGCAGTTTCCTCTCTTAAATCATATGCTAACAATGAAAACACCAACATTCAGCTTAAGGGAGAGTTTTACTTATACGAAAGGGCATCTGAGTCATTTTGCATGTCCCCATGCAAGCTCTAAATATCCACACAATTATGCAAATAACCTAATTTGAGGTTGTTGAAGTCCCACTATGGTTAAATAAGAGTTTTAAAACAATCTTCACCTTACAAGTTAGCTTTTGGGATAAAGTTAAACTTGAAGTTCAAATTCAACATTGTACCTAGAGCTTATCATAGATTTGATACTGGGCTACCTTTGACTGGAAAAAGAAATAAAATCTGGCCCCATGAATTTTCTAAATGCAATTGACTTGTCCCGATGAATTTCCCAGTGCAACTTACCTGGTCTTGCAGCTTTCCCAGTGCTACTTACCTAGTCTCGTGGCTTATCCAATGTTATATTAGAAAACAGTCCTACAATTTCTACGCTCTAGATGTCCAATCTTGAGCATGAGATGTGTTGAAGTCTTAAATCGACTAGAGATATGGCTAAATAAGAGCTTATAAAGACAAACAATCCTCACCTTGTGAGCTTGCTTTTGGGATTGAGTTAGACTTAAAAGTCCAAATTCAACAGAGGTTACAGCTACTCAGAAAAAAAAAAATCTATTTTTGCTCATCTTTCTAACTTTACAGTTGTAAAGTGCTTCGTCCACTAGTTTCTCATGTATCCCTTCATATAGATCACCCAAAGAGGTGGCCAAGGGGGATTTGACACATTTATTTTCCTACATGAATTCATTTGAGTTATACTGAATAATATGTACAACAGGTAATCCCCAATTGAATAATGAACTTACAAAATGAGGTAAAAGTCCAAGGGGGTTCCCTTTTTGGCCTGATCTTCCACTGAATGCAGACGTTGATGAGCTTGCCTTGATTCTTTTCCACCATTTGATCCACTTGGTGAGTCAGACAGTTTAGCCTTTTCATTGGATTGAGTTTCAAGAACAGCTACAAATCTTTTGAGGTCACAAGCTGCTTGTTCATAATCTCTAACCATCTCATGTAAGGTAGCTCTTCTTGAAATTGCCTACAAAATGAAATCAATCAGACTCCTTAACAGAAAAAATCACCATACTCAGTGAAACTGATAGATTCAAATGAAACTTCTAAAGTCCATATACTTCTCATGCTTTTAATATTGTAAGCTAGCATCCAGGAAGAATATCCAAACATGCATTCGTGATTTCACCAAATTGAAGGGATTTTAGAAAATCATACCTTAGCATAATTTCCATCAAGGGCTATAGCCATACTGCAGTCTGCAATGGCATCAGCAATTTGGCCCAAAGCTTGATGAGCTGCAGCACGGTTGCAGAAACATACTGCTGCAAAAGGACGTGATTTAAAATTGCATGATAAAGCAGCAGTGTAATTCTCTACAGCTTCTGTATACTTCCCCAATCTAAAGTTTTCATTTCCTGCACTCTGTTGTAATGAAAAATAACAAGATCAATGTATTATATACATATTACTAGGCATAATACTAGCAGTTACCTGGAAATGATACAAAACTACAAATCTGAAAATGTTTCAAACAGAATACGAACCATAGCTTATTTACCAGGACTCAGAAATTAACAGCATTATGTTAGTCATTAGACAAAGATAATTTCAAAATGGACACTAAAAGCATAATTTCCACCTTTACAGAGATAAAAAGATTTTTTCATCAGAGAAATACATAATGGTGCTTTATTTGGATGCTTTTCTCTTGAGAGAGGTTGTCACAAGCAACAATGCATAGATACTCCTTCTAAATAGTAGCAACGTCAAGTTGTATCCATGTCAAACAAGTATTCATGCGGGACACTACACAGGCACTTCGAAAACTTCTAGTTGCATTTTTTTAACTTCATAAATTTGTTTGTATCAATAGAAATTGAAATGGCACAATAATTAGAAAAATTGTAGCAATTTATTATGTAAGAATTTTATTTTAGAATAATTCTATATGTAGTCTTATAGTGTTGTGTCCTATAATTTTAAAAATTTATCATTATCCCCACCTCTGACATATCCACACTTTCTAGCTCATAAGGTATAAAGTAATTCATACATGGAATAGCAGTATCAGTCATCGCTGATATAGGATCGATAACGGTCACATGTTTGCTTGATATGCAACTAAACCTGAGGACAATCAAGACATTTTCTGTGTTTGCGTAGGTAGCTTAATTCAGGATTTATTCAATAAGTTCTTATCATATGAGGGCTTATAGTATAAATTTGATTATGAAACTTATTAAAATAAACTAAAAAGAGCTAAGCTATACCAATAAGCTTATTGAAATAAGCTACAAAAAACTTATGATAGTCATAAGCACTTCCTAATGCCACCTTTAATAAGTGGTATTTGGAAGCAGGCATTAATTTAGGAAGATGTAAATATTGAAATTACCTTGTGCTCCAGAAGTTTTCTTATTGTAGCAGCTAATGAAAACAAGTCTTCAATGTTATCAATCACACACCTGCATAATTGAAAGGAGCATAAGGCATCCCTAGCTTTTGAAAAACGAAGATATATTTTGATTGAAATGGCAAATAAAAAATTAGTCTTGCTTGGAAATCAATTAAATTACTTGTTCGTGACAGACACAATGTGCTGTAATCTCTCAAGAACATTAAGTGATGCTTCAAGCCTTCCCAAATGAAAGTAACACTTGGATATCAATGACCACCTCCACAATTTTACACTTGAGTAACTATCACACATGGAACTACTGGAATTGTTCACTTTTTTTTCTAAGGAAAAATTCTTTTCTGCAAGAAGTTGACTCTGTTCACAAAGCTGAATTGCCGCATCATACTTTTGCAGCTGCAAGATAGTACAATAAATAAACAGCAGTTTTAATTATCCATTATACAAAATAATGAAGCAAAACAAAAAAAAAAAAAAAAGAATTTATAAAGTTGAATGGGGAAAATAATGTGGGAGTAGAAAATACCAAGAATAGAGCCTCTGCCTTCATTTGAAGCAATTTTTCTGAGTATAAGCTTATTGACAATGCCTTTGTAATTCGTTCTAAAGCAGTAACAGTTGCATCAGAAGTCCTCTCTTTTAAAAGTTCAGCAGCATTATTTATACACTTGACCACTTCCTATTAATACAGAATAACACGCATTACACATCATATAAAAGCATGCACACCATGCAAGCAAGCAAAGAAAGAAAAGCAGAATTGAAGATTTCCTGCTTCTTGAAAGAATACTAGCTAACAAATTAATAATAACTGATAATAATATTAAAATGAAGTTTCCAGAAAGAAGAAACAATCATTGACACACAAATTGAAAATGTCAACAAATGCATCAAGACAAATTATCATAATTGCGATATCCACATAAAAGAAAATCATTCAAATACCTGAGCCTTCTGCAAACCTTCAGCTGCTTCTACTATAACCCTTCGATCCAAACAAACAACACTGCCTGATTCCATGCACTTATTATAGCACTGCTGAGCACTTTCTACTTCACCTAGTAAAAGGTGACAGCTGGAGACGAAAATCTATTTCATTACTTGAAGGGGAGAAAAACTAGAAACCACTATATTTTTGTAATCTAAATGAATACAATTTCAGACAAAACCCTTACTTAGCAGTTCTCATCTGTACTTTTAGAAAGGTAGGGTCCAGAGCAGTAGCCATCAAGCAATCCTCTAGAGCTTCTCTAATCCTTCCAAGACTCATGCGTGTTGCCGCACGGTTACTGTAGCACAGTGAAAGAGGCTTGAACCAGCATCCTGATCTTTCACTTGAAGGGACAGAATTTATTCCTAGTGTGTAGAATTCTTCAGCTTTAGAAAGATCCCCATCTTTATGGGCCTGGTTCCCCCTAAATAAAATCATGATTGCACACATAAATACAGAATGCAAATTTCAGCAACATCTAATAGAAATCACCACGTCAAATATAAAAAAAAACTAATTAAAATATATATGAAAGAACAGGTTTTTTTTAATGGTCTGCACCTGAGCCTCCATTTGTCACAGGCTGCTGGATTTGTATCTGATGATGCGATATCCCCTTCCTTTAACTGGTCATTCTTCTGAGAATTGCCCATCACATCAGAATGTGATGACATGTTGGTAGTGGTAAGTGGTGAAACTTGTACAGAAGATACAAACTTTCCATTCACATTTGGAGATATAACAAATGAGTTGCACCCTGTTTTCCTCCGAAATTTCTTCTTCTGCTTACGCTTAAGTGATGAAGTACCCTCTACAGTTGATGATGCAGAAAATGCAAAATCTTTTCCCTTTGCATCACTCAGACCATGAACAAAATGAAACATATCATCATTTTTCCTTTCAGTGTTTGAGGCTGCCGAAGTACCAGCTACACTACTACTGCAGAATTGCTGAGTTTTCAAATTAGGCCAGACTATTTCAGGGCCAGAAGGCCCAGAAGAATGAAAATTGTCAAAAGAATTTCCATTACATGACTTGTTATTATCTGTATCTTCCCTTCCCACAGCAGGCAAGTGTTCACCTTTATAATCAGCAGGAATTGTTGAGTGTAGACTATTTATTTCTTCTGAAGCTTTTACATCTTGATCATTTTCTGCTGTTTCCTGATAAGGAGAAAAATCCATGGGTGAGTGATTACCACAAGAATCAGGGGTTTTGAGTGAACTACTTTCCTTTGACAAATGATCTAGCCTTGTCTGTTTCTTATTCAAGGAATGCAGCTTTGATTTTCGCCTCGTACACTTTGATCCTTTATCTTTGCAAGATCTTCCCTTCTGTGTGGATTCAAATTTTTTATTTAACTTAGGAAATAAGTTGTCCTTAAAACAAGAAGGATCCCATGTTGGGGGTTTGAAGTCCATAAAAGACCCTTTGGATGCCTCTGGAGTACTTGCAAAACAATTTTCACCATTACGGTTATCTGAACTAGAAAAATGGCTCATGAAAGCATAATTATTTGAATAGGAATCAAGACCAAATGATGAGAAGGAAAATGATGCTGTAGCTCCACTCACTTTTGAATCTTGAGACACGTTACATTCAGGAATTTTGCCACACTCGAAACCTCCAATGCCTTCTTGACTAGAGCATGGCATATAGCTAGGTGCTCCACAAACAGTTCCATTTTGAACATCATTAGTTTTGCCTGCTTTGACATATTGCCCACCAATATTCTCAAAAGCAACATGAGTACTGGACTGCTGACCATCAGCATCAGTTCCTGAACTAACACTAGAATAGCCAGAAACGTTGTCACTAGTTCCAAACACAAAACCAGTACTACTATTTACACATGAATTCGTCAAATTAGTGACACCAGCACCCTCAGAATAGTTGATGTTCAGTTTCTTCATCTCACCTGGTAAATCACATGCTGGAATGTCACTACAGGTAGCAGAAATACCGTTAGTACTTCCATATTTACTCCTAATCTTATCATCATTACCCAAATGATGATACAGATCAGCGTCCGTATCATTTTTACCATTGGTTTCTGTGTTTGCATTAAAAGCACCCATTCCATGATCCAAATTTCGCACGCTGTCAATACACTCCTCCTTTTCCACATTAACACTAGCTGTTCTACCACTATGGTCGCTACCAAAACACTCCCGGTTTTCACTCTGAAATTCACTCTTACATTCCCTCTCCCCACCGTCTTCAAGCCCTGAATTACCAACAAAAACACTAGAATTTCCCTTCTCTACATTTGAACCAGAAACCGAATCGTTCCGACCAGCACTAAAAACAAATGCCGTACTACTGAACCCCCCCAGCTCCCTTTCCGAAATCGACATCTTCCTTTCATCACCATAATCCATTTCTTCAACACTTCCACTACTATTTCCCCCTCTCTCGGGGATCGAATTCGATTCGACATCACTCCGTTTAGCACTAAACACGAATTCCACATCAGCACTCTTCCTAGACTCCATTTCTTTCTCACTCGCTCCCTTCCTAGAATCCAAATCCCTAGCAGAATCAGAATCGCCCTTCCCAGCACCAAACACAAAAACGTCATTTTCAAACCTACGAAGGCCGTTCAAAGAACCGCCGTCACAATCTCCAGCACCACTAGCATGACCACTTACCTGATCAGAACAAAAAGGATTGAAGCCGAAGGCAGAGCCATCGGCGGCGACGGCGGCGGCTCGGCTCCGGGACCTGGCATGGTGAGCAGCGGATTGCTTTCTAAGCTTAGCGAGCCTTGGTCGGGACCTGATGCGAGTGGAGGAAGAGGAAGTGCTGAAGGGATCGGCATTGAAATTGGGAAATTGAGAATGCGGCGTTGCATCGGAGGAGTTGATCGGAGATTGCTGATGCAGCGCCGCTTGGGACATTGACGGAGGAGTAGGGTTTTGAATTTGTTCCAACGGGTGAATGGGTGTTTTGAGAGTTCAAATTCCCACTCCTCCACGCCCAGAGAGCAATATTATATTATTTTGTTAAATAATCGAATTAAGTTTTGGTGAAGACTTGCTATCAACTATTGTACGAGTAAACGAACGCTGTTAATACCCAAATTTGTATCTTCTTACTAAAATTTTTTAAAAATTAAATATATAAGAAAAATAATAATTTAAAAATAAAAAAATGAAAATTATATATTTTTATAAAATTTAATTAATAATAAAAAATATGTTAGATAGGAAGTTAATAACATTCCTGAATCAAATATTACAATTCAAATTTCCTTTGCCTTCTGCTTTTCTCCGTTGCCTTATTGCATCTGCATTAAGCCTCCTGTGATTATTTTTTTTTTTCCAACTTAGTTTGTAGAAAAGGTGGACCACAACAAACTGCCACACGTTTTAATTTTAGGGTGAGTTTATAGATGATTTATCAAAATAATTCATTATTTTTTTCATTTTAAAACAAAATTACTGATATAGTTTATTAAATTTTTATAATAAATTTAATGACATAAATGCTTGTGTAGAATAATTATTAAATAAATATTTAATTAAATTATGTGTTCTAATGATGTGTTTGATAAAGTTTATACAATTGTTTATTTTTTATAATTTTTAAAATTTGTATTATATTTTATTTTAAAAACAAAAAAATATTTTTAAAATAGAAATCAAATGTACCACTTCCATCTCTTTCACCATCTCAGTTGTATCCACATGTTGCTCGCAATACAACATCCATGAAATCAATGAGCCCTTCATATTAGAATATTACTATAATGGTTCCATTATAAAGAGTTTCGCAAAGCATGAAGATTACTAGTGTTAGAAGAATAAGAAAACAAAAAGAAAACCATTGCTATGATTTTGTTTATTGTGCTCTTTAAAACTAAGAGAATACTATTTACTAGTTAGAGATTTAGGTGTGGATGTGAGCTGTTACAATATATCTTAGAATTGAAATAAAAAACAAAGTAAACATGAGATTAAGTTTGGAGGTGGATTATGATAAAAGTGAGTCTCTTGCATTTGTTACCTAATAAAACAGTAAAATCAAATAAAAATATTAAATGACGAAATTAAAGAAAAAAAAAAGAACTAACTAAAAGAACTATTTAGTAATAGCAATTAGATGGACTATAAAAGAATTGATGAAAAAAATAAATATTTAATAAACCTTTAAATATGAAATTACTTCCAATTGTTATCGTGTATAATAGATGTAGAACCCTCAAATTGCTAGCACCATAAATTTTACCTTCTAAAAATTATAAAAAAGAACCAAAATGGTGTTTTAATTTTTAACCATGTTTTTTTTATATCGATCAATTATAGTAAAACGATGAATAAATTGTTTTTTATAATAATAACAATAATCGATGATAAAAAAAAAATTTAAATGGGAATATCCATGTTGACGTGTTGCGACGCAACGAGCCGCTTTTTCTCTAGTCTTAGAAACACGTGGCTCGTCGGTTCCACTCGGTTACCCAACTTCACAGAAACCGCCACTCAACTCCAGATTTAGCATTTCGTCACCGTTCTTCTCCCATCCTTTCACTTCCATTCAGATTCAGGTACTACTTTACGCTTCTTTTCCACCAAATTAAATAAATTTTTAAAAAAACTTCAAAATTGATGTAGGTTATACGCTCGGTGTGATATCATGATGTTGAGGGTTTTCGATTCTTCGTAATTTGTCACTCCTCGTTTTTAATTGAACGATCTTTTTCGATTCCTCGTTGAGTTTTGTGTTCAATGTTTGTGCCAATGAAAATCCATGTATCGTGTTACCCATAAATAGGTCAGGTACTTGATAACTAGAATTGGCAAACCTAGTAGTTTTACTTATTTTTTCCTTCTAAGTTCATGTTTTGGGCTGTTTAGGGAGTGGTAATGGTGGTTGTTTCAAAACTGTGCTGAGAAAACAAGAGGGTGTGATGGCATAGAAATTCAAGTTACTCTCTCCAAGGTGAGTGAAGCTTTACTTATCTGTGTAGAGTTATGATACCCTAAATGAAATGGACTATCTCTTTCGACATGTTTGGTACCCTTGTGAAACTTGGGCTTATATCAATGTCCATGGTTGCTTGGTTGTCACAGATTAGCTGCTCTGAACTTTCATTCTTGAAGTTTTTATTTCATCCATTCAGGTCCATGTGTTGCCAATGACATAGCTTGATATTCTAGTTAACATGTTGCCAGTGTCACGACTCAATACTTACTATTTTGCTTCTATACACGACTTGCCTGTCACATATTTTCACACGACTTGCCTGTCACATATTTTTTCTTACTCTTTTAGGAAACCATTACATCAGAAGATCTTGAATTTTAGTATCTATTAAAATGGAGACCCAATTCATTTGGCATCTGTACAGGAAACTACTTGGTTATGCCCCCTATCTTACTATAGAAGGCATTGACCCCATCCCATGCCTTTTTGATATATTCCAGGATGCAAATTAAACCATCCCAATGACTATCGCGTGTAGTAACTGACTAACCATACAATTCTAAAATATTGCTCTGTATTTGACAGAAAACTCCCGTCCTGGTAAAGTTTAGTGTCACCATCTAGTTTCTTCTGTTGTTTGCAACCCCAGCAAAAGAGTGAGCGACTATAAGAATAAGAAAATATTAAAGATGATCCAAATCATTGGAGTAAATGTGCAAGAGTGTTATCTTACCCACTTTGTGTTATTTATCCCTAAGAAAGCTTTGTACAAGAATACAACTAGTGAAACTACATAAAATGAAGAATAATAAATACTAATAATTAGGATAGCTACTATTTCAACAAGAGGATCCAACATTCCAATTCCTGATAGTAGTTAGTTACTCTTCAATAACTAGGCAGATGTCAATACTTTTATTATAGATCTTGATAGATTGTTATAGTAACAGTGGATGTCTCTACTCTTTTACTTCTCATTTTCTTCCCACAGTGGTAGCCAGAGTCCTTCATTTTAGAATGAGGCAATCATGCAACATACATACTGGACAGGATCAAATATTTTACTTCTTTCTGCAGGTTAAGGATTTTGGAAGATTTTGTGGGCTTGGAGGATTCAGCTTTACCAAGACAGTGATGAACCTACCTACATAAGAATGCAATGTGGGTTTATTAATGCAAGTTTTTATCTTTCATGGAGAACAAATCAGAAAAAATGCTGCATGGTGAGGACCATCATTAAATACTTCATTTTATCTGAAGCTCACTTCAAGCACTTTTTTCTCTGGAATTAATGCTTGATATTGTTATGTAAAGTTGATAATTGACTGTGCATTCGGTAGTGTAGATTATGCCAATCAATTTACAATGATGATGCTAGGAACTAATGTTTGTAGGAATACTATAAAGGCATGAAAATCGATTGACACAGTGTGTCAACGAATGAACAATTGACATGCTGAGCTTTCCACACCATCCATCTGAAGACAAATTTGCACTTTCATGGAAATCGTTTTGCACTTGAATATCTTTTGGCCTTTTGAAGTCTGTCTTTGAGTTCTCTCATCTCTGATATGTAATTTTCCATTTTAATAAGTTAATAGATAATGCATGTTAGGGCACTGTATGCAAACCATTTGTTCAAGTGACATGTAACTGCTTTGCAAAGACTATAAGGAAAAATAATAAAGTGGATAAGTTTTTCAATTCAATCAAGTGGGTGTAAACACCTATTTTAGCATTAGCTTTCTGGGTAATCTCATTTATAGGAGGGACTGTTTGCTCTTCTGCAGACACATTTTGAGTTTGTTTGAAACTACTTGATAGATAATGTGGAAGTAAATTTTACATAATAGGACTCTCTACTTAATACTTCTGCATTTTAGTTTTTGGTTTTTTACTTTCATTTGATGTACCGATCACTCATGTTTGTGAGTTCAACAGATACTAAGGAGAGCACTCGTGTGGGGGACAAGTTAGCTGACACCACTCATTCTGATATTGATGACAAAGGTGTTCTGAAAAATTTTATACGATCCTCGGGGGTGGTTGCAGAGTCAAAGATAGCTGATAAAAAAGGTGGAGAAACTTGTTCGAAGGGTACACCTCTTGAGGAAATTGATGCATCTGGGGATGTTAACATGGAGGCATCCATAACACCTGATGATGTTATTCGGGCTGGAGGATTTGGTGCCAGGGATGATATCAGTAGCTTTCTTCCTGTTGCAAGTGATTCTACGGACTTTGAAGCTTCAATCCGTGATGCACGAGATTATGAAGAACCACAGGGTCAAGTAAGCAGGCCCGGCCTTGGCTGGACTGGTTCTGCTAGGGAGGAATAAATATTGCCACTGTTATATGCACTAGTTTTCGCAACTTATGTTGTTTTTAGCTGGGGGGGACCATGTGTTTCTGATATTAGCTGATGCTTGTTGAATTTGAAGTCTTTTGATGCTAAAAAAATATTGTTGGTAAATATCACTTTAGATTTTCTTGTAAAGATGGTTGGTGCGTTGGCTAGTGTTTGGTTTGTCCTTGTGAAGCGGGACCTTACATTAAAAAATTCGTCTTTTTGGCTGGATAAGAGTCCTTGAATTGTTGCAACTACTTTTATTTTGGTCGAACTTAAATACGGAAAAGTAGGGGCAATGTTTGACCTGTTTGGAAGGAGGGAAAGAAAAGATGGTAAAGAAGAATCGGTGTTCTGTTGGTCGAGGGTCACTGTTTAAGGAAAGGCTAGTTGTAATAGATACTATATTTGTTTCTCGTTGAGGTTGAATTTCATTAACACTACATATTACTAGAAAAAAAAAAAATTATAGTTGATCAGTAGAGATATTGCAGAATTTCTAACTTTAGCCGTGAAAAGAGATTTTAGAATCAAAATGTTTTAGGATAAGGTGGACTCCAACCACAACAAAATAACAATTTGTAATTGGGAAATGACAACTTATAGCTTATTACGTTATGTTATACCAATGTTACGCAGGTGGTGAATGTATGGCAGTACTTGCCTGAGTAAACTCGGAGGCATGAGTGGTAGGTAGAAGTGGATGTGAATGTACGAGCATCAATAGATTATTACATTAATAAATAACGTTTTCCTATCCTGTTCTAAGATAATGGTTAAAGACTTAACAAACATGTTTTTATTAAATATATTGTAAAAATGTATTGATAATATTAAATATATTTTTAATAAAAACTTTTTATTTTTGTCTAACGGTAAGGATTAACAAAATAATAATACAACTGTACTCAGAAGAAGTCGAAATGATACTTATTAAGATGATAAAAATTTGTTTACGATATTTTGATCATATTAAAAAAAAACTAATCAAGGAAATAATAAATGTAATGGAAAAGACTTGGCTTTAAACGACTGCTGAAAATTGACTTTTGATAGGTAAGTAGAATCTATAAGTAATGTAGCTCATTCTTTATAGTAGGCAGAGAGTTAAGTGTCTATTTATATAGGTGTCTGAGAGATGGTCAATCAAAAATTTAATAAAAAAGAATAATTTTTCCTTTTAAAAAATTTGCTTTGGAAAGTGCTATTGATGCAGTTGCCGCAAGATGAAGTTTAAACAAACAATCAGTTTTCTTTTTTTGTTTTTAAATGATTAGTTGTTACTATTTAAAAAGAAAAAGAAAAGAAAAGCTAATAACAAAGCTTTATTTAACCTTTGCTTTACATTTAATAATAATTTTCTTTGCTAATATTTTGTTATTACAAGGTTGGCACTAAGAGTTAAACTCAACTTCCAAACAACTTAAAATATCACCACCAACTTACTATTGGTGTTTTGGTGAGCCAATCTTCTAATGATGACCTAAAAAGCAAGCTTCCATTTTGTTTTTTTGAAAAGAAAATACAAGGGCCACGCTCACAATTATTGAGAGCAAGGCCAGGGAAACATATATGATTAATTATCAATAGTTACAACCTTACACTCTAAAACTAACAGGAACTATACATTGCCTTTTGAAAGATTCTATGGCCAGGTGCAAGCAGTGCTAGTGGGTCATAGGCCCTTTTTCTTTCCACAAATGCTTTCCATTGTGACCCAAAGTGGACTTTCCATTCTTCCTGTGTGCTGTAATGTGGAAGATATTGCTTCACTCTCAGTTGGGCATTGGAGCAAAACTCTATGATCCTTTTGTTTTGGCTTATAATGTATTCTAAACTGTTTGCACCACTTGAAAATGGGACTGCCGAAGATAGGAATGCCACAAGGTAGAAAACATCTTCCTCTGGTGTAACCAAAGATGTTTTACTGTTCCACCTGGAACATCAAAAGATAGAAAATGACTTAACTAAGATTATGAGAATTAATAAAAGTGAATGATTTCTATGCAACATGTTTATACCTTGTTTGGTTGACTGGGTAAATTAGTATGGGACCATTACTTGTGTCTTTAAGAATATTGCCAAATACTTCTTCAGCAAAGCGATGAATCTCACTACTTGGGATCAGAAGGTTCAGCCAAGGATGTGGAACTTCCCATAAGCCTTTTCCTCTTAGCTTTTTCTCAGAAACATGCACTCTGTCTAGGAACTCCACGTAAGAAATTTCTGACATGAAGAGTGTGGGTGGGATATACCTCAGTTCTGAGAGTAGGTGATCAACACCCTGCATTTGAATAGTTGATGAAAATGAGAATTTTTATTTTGTATTTCTTTGTTCACTCAATTAATGCTTTGATTCTGACCATGCAATTAAATATGTTTCTTGGTATGCTATACCTGATTCATGACTTCAGCTTCATCAGGGTTGAAGTATTTTGCCATCTCAAGACAGTAGAATGTTTTCCCATCAGAATTGAATTGGCTGGCTTGAAGTGGGTCTTTGGGATCAAAGGATGATCTCCAATTGTTAAGGATGCCAGTTCTGTTTATGATCACAAATCCTTCAATATAATCAAATGTGTTTTTAAGTGATATCAAATACTCTTGGTCCCTTGCAAATGTAGAGAAGTCTGAGTAGAGCACCCTAATCCATTTCACCTGTCAAAACCCACAGATGATGTCATAAATAAAATAGTATTGAGAACTTTCTTTCGGGTCTTAAATTTAAAAGACTTGGAAGGTACACTCACCATCTTTGGTGCTGGCTCAAGAGAAATTCTAGCCCTTGTGATGATGCCAAATTGACCAAGCCCTCCAAGAACACCATAAAAAAGGTCAGCATTTCGGTTTCCTGAGCAGGTGACCACCTCTCCTTTTCCTACAAAGAAGCATTAATTTTGCAAACTGGATTAATGTGATGCAAATATCAACCGTAATTGTGACACAAAAATGGTTAGTTGGTTCATGGAATGCAACATTCACACACCAAAGAAGGGACTATAAACTATTATTCTCATTCAGCATGATGAAATATAACAACTAAAACAAAACCTGAATTACTACGAACACAGAATCCTATTAGGATGTGGAAATAGCAAATTATTGTTGAGCAGTTACCTGTGATAACTTCTAGCTGGAAGATGTTATTGATCTGAGGTCCATGCCTAAAGGCTTGTCCACTTATTCCAGCATTTGAAAGAGTGCCACCAACAGTAAGGTGAAGATAATCTGTCCAAGATTTTGGTGCCAACCCATGTTTAAGAGTTTCATGCAGAATGTTTATCCACAACTCACCTCCTGAAACATCTACATAAGGAAATTCTCCATTGTGAACTTTTATGTCAGGACCCTGCAGAGACTCCATGTTAATAACCAGGCCTCCATGGGCTTGTGCTTGGCCTCGTAGGGAGTGGCCATGGCCTCTAGCAGCAACCTTAAACTCTGAAGCAAAACCCATGTCAAAAATATGCTTTATGGTGCGTGAAATATCAGAAACTGTTTTTGGATGAAGCACTGCTAGAGGGGGGAAATGGTTTATGTTGCCAAAGTCCTTGGCAGCATTCTCATTGTCCCTCATGCTAAAGTGGCCATCAAGAGCTAGTGCTTGCAGTGATGAGAGGATCTCATGAGGTTGAAATGGGACTAATGAAGTGGCAACAGAGTTATTGCAGCCTGAGTCTGCTTTATGAAGCATAGAATTAAGGAGTATAAGTATGAAAATTTTGATTGATATAAGACTCTCATGTTCATAAAAACTATGTTTTGACACCATGGTTTTTAGTTTTTGAAAATATTGATTTGTATAAGAAAAGGTGAGGGTGATGAATGTTGTTTTGGGAGGCAGGGTATAGAAGCACAAGGAAAGGTTTAGAAGAGAATGGATAATTTGAAGGTTGAGTAGACAATTTGAAGGGGTGACTCCTTTTATAGGCAACTTCATGCTTTGTCGCGGCTGTCCTCAGCCCTTAGATGTATTTTAGTTAGCTTAATTTTTAATTTTGGTCTCTTCAGTTTCTCTTTTAAGAATTGGTTTCTTTAGTTTAAATTATATATTTAAATTTTTGTTTTACATCAAGTAAATTTAATCTCATTGTTAATGTTTCTTTTCAAGATTTTTAATTTTTTATTTTCTATTTAAAATTTTCAAAAAAATGTAGTCGATTTAATTGTTTTAAATTTTTATCCAATTAAAATTCACTAAGAAAACATAAAATTTCATAAAAAAAAAAATTAAAAATTCATCTGAAAAAATTTTCATCCTATATATAAAATATTACCAAATTTTACTAAATTACTGGTTTATAAAATTTTTAAATAATTTCATATCTCAAATTCTTCATAAAACTCCAATTATTCGAATAAAAATTAATATGTCAGTTACTTGATGACTAGAATATGAATACAATTAATCCTAACTTTTTCAATTTTAAATCATAAGAGCTATAGTGTCTGAGATTTTGGGAAAAACTATTACAAAATAAACTCAATACCATCGTTAAGGTCTTGTTGTTTTTCTTTACAGTGGTAGTAGATCAATGGTTTAAGGAATAAGTTACAAATTGAATTGATAGAATCGAACTTGTAGCAGACAATTTGTTGGAATCTAAGACTCGTTAATTAACACAAATAACATCAATCATTATACTACAATATTTATATATCGTTTATAATGTTCTTATATATAGAGAGAGAGAGATTAATATGAAAACATGTTTTGAAAGAGAGGAAAGAAGAAAGAACAAAAGGAAAAAAAGTGAGTGGTTTATGGGATGAATATTGTTAAACACTCACATAGTTTTAATTATTTAATTACAAATGTTCCACGCCATTTTTCATATACATAACATTTTAATTTACTACAAAAATAATGCTATATATGTTGACGGCTTAGTGTTGAATAAATTTTTATTACTATTGTTGTATTTAACAAATTTTAAATTATTTACAGCTGGAAACTAATTATTTTAAGCGTAGAGATGTAAGGTGATGTGAGTCCAATTATATGCATCATACATTTTCTTCAGCATGTTAGCAAGCAAGTTCAGCTAACATTTTATAATTTTTCTTTAGTTTAAACTTGAACTAACATCGTAAATGTCTCAACGTTCTAAAATAGTTAAGCTATTTGGTGAATTTTTTATGATATTTTATTTTGATGATGCTATTTAGGTTCATCATAAAGTACTGATACAATATTTCTATATCAATTATAACAAAAGATTGATTTTATGTTCTGCACCGAATTAATTGTAACGAGTTTTTATGTATAACCATTTTCGTTTTATATTAACTTGGGCGGTTAATTGTTCACTATAACTAGCACGAGATCGAACAATTTTACAAGGATGGAATATAAAATATTGCTTAAAGAGATTCAAGTATACATGTACCCATGGCAGTTTGGATCAACTTGTGAATGGATATTTATGAGAAAAAATAACATAAAAATAAATATTTTTTTTAAAATGGAAAAATAAATTAATTTTAACTTATGAATGATTCATATTACTGATTAACTTTTACTCTTACAAATATTTGTGGACAATTTTATCCAAACTGGACCCATTTGAACAAAAAATGTTAACCAAAATAAGTATTTTAATTAGTTTTTAATGCAGCATTTATTTTCTTTAACTTTGTAGTTAATCCTCACCCCACTCCCTTTTCATAACTTAATTGCATGTGCTATTAAATATATATATATATATATATATATATATATATATATATATATATAGTATTGAAACATAAAGAGGATGACGTGAAAACATCTAAAGTTTCTTTCATCTTTGGATAGATATTATTGTGGTGATGTGTTTATTCTACTACCCAAAAAGTGTCCTTCATTTTTTTTATGTATTTTAAAATTATTGCCCCTAATTTAATATTTCAAAATACACTTATTTACTAAATTTTGAATATTGAAGCGATTTTAACTACTATAAATATTTAATCTAAAAAATAATTATTTTTATAAAAAATACTTACAGTTTAAATTAAAAAAATATAATAAAAGTTTCATATCTTATAGTGATGATGTAATTGATAAAAAATTATGTCAAATTACCTGATAGAAAGTTATTTTAACTTAACCTGGTCGAAGTTGAATTATAGTATATGTAATTGTATTAAATATTTTAAAGAAGAATGTTGTCACCTATAATAATTATACTGAACTCAAATATAATATAAAAAAGGAGTAAGTTAAAATATAAAATGAAAATAAAGAGTCTTATATAAAACTAAATTATCCTCAAATTGAACAATTTATAACTTTAATTCTGATATTTACTTTACATTTTAGCATAGCATCGATGACTACAGGTGATGAGGTGTCGATTGGTGATTGTTTGAAAGTTGGTAGTAAGTGAAAAGAGACGTAATGTATAGCTCATTGATAAACGAAAGAATCGATGAGTGGCTTCAAGATCGGGGACCATTTGACTTAGAGGGTTTGAGGTCCCAAGAAGATGAATGTGTACTTAAGCTGAAGGCACTATTGTCAGGTTTCAAACTGTAGAATTCAATTCTCTTTTTGATTTAGGAGAGTGTTTGCCGGGTCCGGCCCCTACTATAAGCCTCTTGGTGTTTGAGTTGAGTGTGATGGAGTCAAATTTCTGGGTCCCCTATTCTCATACTAAGCTAATAAAAATGTTTCTTCAGTGGTTTTCCTCCTCCTTCTTATCCCACCAGTTTTTCATTACACTCTCAAGCAACCTTTGAATACATTTTCATTCTCATTTTTATCTTTTTGGCTTCATCGCAAATACATGTTTTTAACAAATTTTTAATCTATACTCAACACCAAAGTTAAAGTCAATCACGTTTTGTGAAATTTAAAACTAAAACCATTGTGGGGTTGCTCTAAACATGCACATGGACATTAATATTTAGTGCTGCGAAAAGTAGTGTTTCCCAAAGGTTATATGTCATGCTTTCGTGTTATTATTAACATATATAATTAAGAAATATATATCATAAATAACAATACAGTTTTAAGGAAAAATATTGCGAATTCTCAACCACTGCTGTATGGTTTTGTTTTAATTTTCTTCTCCACATAAGAAAAATGTATCATATATATATATAATTTATTTACAAGGTGTGTGAAACTTTAACACTTATATGTACATTATTTAATAATTAGCTTTTTATAGAATGCGATATTAATAAATTTAATTTTATATTTGAATATTCTTATTAAGTAGATTAATTTTATAAAAAAATTAAAAAAATGTTTCATCATATTACTTAATTTTAATGCATAATATATTTAAAATTTGACTTACATAATTATGAAGATAATATAAGATGTTTTAATAGTTCAATTAATTAATTTTATATTTTATGAAGAACTTTTAAATAATGGAAACATTAAAGTTATATTTAATGTCCACGAATCTTAACTATTATTGACGTAATGCTTTCTTTCTCTGTTCACAATTCTTTGTCATCAAATTATTTCTACAAGTGTTAATTATTACTCTCTGTTGTTTTAGACAAATTCATATAGGAATTTAATGTTCCAGGCAACCACCTATGTAAGCTGTTCATAAGTAACTATATATAGAGATAAGTGTACAAATATCTAGTGTTTCAGTCACAGATGATCATCTTCAAAGTTCTAAGATGTAATTTAATTTACAAGAGTATGTGTTGTGATTGTTTGCCTAACTAGCTTGCATGGATCATCAATATCATCAAAGTTATATTAGTATATATAGCTGTAGATTCGGAGTTGTCAAAGTACTTAATGAATTGTATATATTTATATTCCATCAGATCAAGCCACGAATAAGATGCAGTACGGTGTGGAACAATTATATGTTATTATTAGACTTGTCTTTATTGTTTTTTCTTGAAAATATATATATCAGATCATATATATACATTATAAAATAATAATTAAGAAGCTAATGAAGATTCAACAGGTTGATCACAAGCTGACAAATGAAATTGGGTGGCTGCATTGGTGCTTGAAAAACGATATTTATTCCTGATCTTATGATGTTGTGTTTTCATCAAGATGCCGATGAAGACATGATTTTGAGAATCACTTAATTTTGTTAAGAGGGAATCATGTAGGGACTGGTACACGTGATGCTCACAAGGTGATCACACGGGCATAGTAGTGGAAGAAGAAGTAAGCATCTTGACTCTTAGTTTTGATCCTACACAAGTGCCCAGTCCTGACGTGGAGAATACAAAAGGACACCTAACATAAGCATACCCTCCCCATGAAATCATTTAAGTCTATGGAATAGCTAGGAAAATGATACATGCAAAGACATTTATCCCCCACAAACTTCTCACACAGACACATTAAAGCTGTGGACTCATTTGGATCTTTTAGAAAAAGTTATATAATAAAATATATTTTTTAAATCATATTATATCTTTTATTAGAGAGAACTTTGTTTGAGCTAGATAAGACTTTTATTGTAAATTAATTTATAAAAGTAACTTATAACTTATTAAAATATATATATATATATATATATATATATATATTTATCTTTCAATGAATTTTTATGCGATAAGGGTTTATTTAATAATCGAAGTATTCATTAGGAGTGGAGTTTTGTACATTAAAAAAATCATAGGTTTTTTATTTTTGAAGAGAAAGAGAAGCCCGGTATTATTTCAGTTATATGAAGCATATTACTATATACATTCTACTGAATTGTGAAAATTGTTGTCATTAAGATGAAATAAACTCAAAAAAGCAACTTCAGAATCTCTATCAAATAATTATTTGATTCAAAATCATTATTAGGGGTTTAGTGATGATAAATTATTTGTTAAGTGTTGTTATATCCTACCAAACTCTTCCCTACTGTGGATGCTATGTCGATAGCTACGTATAAAAG